CCTGATGAATAAGGATGTTGAGCATTTCTTTAAATATTTCTCAGCCATTTGAGTTTCCTTTTTGGAGAAGTCTCTTTTTTTTACCCTGTTTTTTAAATTGACATTTCTTTTCTTGGTATTTAGCTTCTTGAGTTCTTTTTGTATTTTGAATATTAGCCCTCTACTGAACATCTTTTCCCACTATAGGATGCCTTTGATTCTGTCCCTCTGGTTTCTTTCTTTTCTGTTTAATCATTCCAGGATGTTCCAGGCTTCACTGGTTCCCTTTTCTGGGATGCTCTTATATTTGTTGTTTGTTTTGGGGGTTCCATGGTGACTGTACAAGTTTGCACTCCCACAAACTTGGATGAGTGCTGTGGGAGAGTGATTTGTACACTGTAAAGATTTGTCACTCGTATTGGTTTAATAAAACACAGATTTGTCCAGATGATGGTGTCCTTTGCCATGCAGAAACTTTTCAGTTTTATGAAATTCTGTTCAGAAAGTCTTTTCTTGTACCAATGAGTTCAAGTCTATTCCCCTCTTTTTCTTCTATCAGTATTTTATGTTTTATCTGGTTTTATGTTAAAGTCTTTTTTGTTAAAGTCTATTTTGAGTTGAGTTTTGTGCATAGTGGTAAGTATGAATTTATTTAAATTCTTCTACTTGCTGACATCCAGTTAGATCAGTGTATATTTTTGGCTTTTAAAAAAAATCAAGTGTTGATAGATGTATGGATTTTGGTCTGGTTCTTTAATTCTATTCCACTGTTCAGACATATCTGTTTTTGTGCCAATATCATGTGTTTATTTGTTTGTTTATTATAGCTATAGTACAATTTGAGGTCAAGAATGGTGATACCTCCCACAGCTTTTATTATTCAGGATTGTTTTAGCTATCCTGGGGTTTTGTGTGTATGTTTTCATGTGAAACTATCAATTTTTCACTTTAAGATATGTGAAGAGTTGTGTTAGACTTTTGATGGAAATTGAATTGAATCTGTAGACTGTCGTTGGTAGGATGGCCATTTTTACTATAGTAATCCTACCAATCCATGAGCATGGGAGATCTTCCCATCTTCTGATATCATCTTCATTTTCTTTCTTTGACATCTCAAAGTTTTTATTATACAAGTCTTTCACTTGCTTGCTTAGAGTTACCTCAAGAAATTTTATATTATTTGAGGCTATTGTGGAAAGTGTTGTTTCCCTGATTCCTTTTTCAGTCTGTTTGTCAATTGTCTGTATTGTAGTGAGCTGCTGTTTTATCCAGCCCCTGTGCTGGAAGTGTGCTACCAGCTGTAGAGTTTCCTGGTAGAAATTTGAAAGTCACTTATGTATAAGATCATATCATCTGCAAGTAAAGGTACTTTGACTTTTTCATTTCCAATGTAATCCCCTTGGTCTCTTTAAGTTACATTATTGCTCTAGCTAAGACTCCCAAATACTATATTGAATAGATGTGGGGAGAGCAGACAACCTTCTCTTGTTCCTGATTTTAAGGAAAATGCTTTTGAGTTTCTCTCCATTTAGGTTGATGTTGGCTATAGGTTTGCTGTAAACTGCCCTTATTAGATTGAGGTATGTCTCTTATATCCCTGATCTCTCCAGGGCTTTTCTCATGAACGGGGTATTAGATTTTTGTCAAAGGCCTTTTCGGTATCTAATGAAATGATCATGTGGTTTTGTCTTTCAGTTTGTTTATATAGAGGATTTCATTTATCAATTTACATATGTTGAATTGTCCCTGCCTCTCTGGGGTGAAGCCTACTTGATCAAGGTGGAAGATCTTTTTGATATATTACAGGATTAGGTTTGCAAATATTTTATTGAGAATATTTGCATCTATGTTCCTAAGGGAAATTAGTCTGTAATTCTCTTTCCTTGTTGGGCCTTTATGTGGTTTGGGTATCAGGGTAACCAACCTCATAAAACAAATTGGGCAGTGCTCCTTTGTCTCTTCTTTGTGCAATAGTTTGAGAAGTGTTGACATTAACTCTTCTTTGAAAATCCGGTAGAATTCTTTGCTAAAACCGTCTGGCCCTGGACTTTATTTGATTGGGATACTTTTGATGGCAACTTGTTTTTCAGTAGGGATTGTAGCCCTGTTTTTTAAATTGGGCTATTTGTTCACTTTATTATCTGATCTTGATCTAACTTTAGTAAGTGGTGCCTATCAAGAAAACTTTCCATTTCTTTTAGATTTTTCAGTTAGGTGGAGTGAAGCCTTTTTCTAAAGTATGTCTTTAGGATTTTCTGGATTTCTTTAGTGTCTGTTGTTAGGCCCCCCCCCCTTTACCCCTAGTTTTGTTGATTTTGACCTTCTTTCTGTGTCTTTTAGTTAATTTGGATAAAAGTTTGTTAATATTACTGATTTTTCTTCTCAAAGAACCAACTCTGTTTCATTGAGTCTTTGTATTGCTTTGTTGTTACTGTTTCATTTTTTATTGATTTTAGCTCTGAGTTTTATTGTTTCTTGCCATATATTCTAAAGGGTTTGCTTTCTTTGTTCTAGATCTTTCAAATATGCTGTTAAGTTACTAGCATGAGCTGTCTCCAGATTTTTAACATAACTTAGTGTTGTAAACTTGCCTCTTAGAACTATCTTCATTGTACCTCGCAAGTTTGAGTACGCTGCATATTCATTTTCACTCAATTCTTGAAAGTTTTTAATTTCTTTCTTAGTTTCTGCCATGACACACTTTTTATTCAGTAGAGAGTTGTTCCTTTTTCATGAGTTTGTAGGTTTTCTGTTGTTGAAATCCAGCTTTAATCCATGGTGGTCACATAGGGTGCCGGGTGTCAATCTTCTTGTAACTGTTGAGACTTGCTTTGTATCAGAGTATTTGTTCAGTTTTGGAGAAAGTTCCATGAGGTCCTGAGAAGTTGTTATATTCTTTTGTGTAATATGTTAGATCCATTTGGTTTGTAATGTCAGTCAACTCCAGTGTTTCTATTTGACATGTCTGTTGGTGAGAGAAGGCTTCCACTGTCAGTGGAATGTGTGATTTAAGCTATAGTATTTCTTTTATGAATTTTTGAGTCCTTGTGCTTGGTGCATAGATGTTAGAATTACAGTGTCCTCTTGGTGGATTTTCCTTTGACGATGTCCTCCCCCATCTCTTCTGATTGGTTTTGGTTTGAAGTCTCTCATGAGACCTTATGAAAATCAGACAAGCTTATCTGTGTCCCCCAGCAAACTGCTTTGATGGCTTACAAGTAGGCAAAGGCAGAGAACATTAGGACAGGATTTATATCTTAAACCTCGAGTCATCATCACCTCAAAACGGTGCTTGCAACTTGCAGCTCCAGTTTCAAGGAAAACTGAAGTCACAGCTGGTCCTTCATAGCCTCTGTAGACAGCTCCGGTCAGAAGCTGCATTGAACTTGAGACAAGCAGCCTAAACCGTTAGGAGTATTCCTTGTTCCTCACCAACTTACAGCCCAGTATTTTTAGTTCAGATGGGCAGGTTATTAGAAGAAATTAAGCATTTTGTGCTTCTGTGTGTGCTCAAGGATCTCATAGTAAGAAACTCAACTTCAAAAAAGGCAGTGGCCATCCAGTACCAACGGCGGCTAGGGAAACGGGAACGCGGGATTGTGTTGGAGCTGTCAGTCAGAACCGATTTTGTTTGGGTGATTTTAGGTCTAAGCTGCCTGTGAAGGGTGTTTCAATTGCAGATCTTAAGACCTGTGTTCCTTAAGTTCAGTGTACCCAGTAGCTCCTTAAATGCTGCTTGTCTTGTGGGATCCAGTTGTTCAGGGACCTCTGTTGCCTGTTAGTGCTAGGCTCACAGTATCATGTGTAACAGAACATAGTTTCTGCACATAAAGGGATTTCCATTCATGAAATGTGAGGAGTTAAACAAAACACAGGTATTTAGAAACAGACGTGGGAACGTTGGAGGTGAAGTTGCTTCTCGTGGTAAGCGGGTGACTCCTGTGGAATCCTGTACAGCTGCTTGCTTAGTCTATTGGTCTTTCTGGGCCTCAGTTTCCTTTTTAGGCAATGTGTATCTTCTACAATTGTCCGGATAAGTGACTACCTGTGTAAATGCCCAGTACAGTGTCCTGCACTTGGGGACCTATTAACAGTGCTGGCTTCTATTGTCCCTCAAAGACATTTAACTCTCTCAGAATATCTAACAGTGTGGCAGTGAGAATGCTTGTGTAAGCCAGGCTGCTGTGTTCCCATGCTGGTTCCCCTGCTGTCTAGCTGGGTGACACTGGGCAAATCTCTCACACACCTATACCTTGTTGTTTGTTGTTATCAGGGTTCTCTAAATATACAACTAGACAGTTTATAAAACTAAATACCAGTGTCTTAGGGTGGTTGTATTAAATAAGTGGCTATAGACACAGAGTAACAACTGTATGGTTGTTACTAAATAATCTCTGAAGTTTATCTAATCTTAAACCCTGAAAAGCAGCTTTAAACCTTTTCCCACCCCCTCCAGTTTTCGCTTTCTATTTAATGTGTCATTTGTTTCATGTTTGACTCATACATAAGGTATTGTGGTGAATATTAAAACATAATTTTTAAATTACATTTATCTGTTTGTTTGTGTGTGTGTGAGGGACAGGACAAACATGCATATGCCAGCACTTGTGTGAAGGTCAGAGGACAACTTCCGGGAGTCAGTTCTTTCCTTCCTTTATGTGGGTCCAGGAGATCAAACCCAGGTTGCCAACCTTAGTGACACATACCTTTACCTCCTTTACCTGCCGAGCCATCTTTACTGGCTCCAGAACATAAACTCTACATTGGGTGGTGTTGTGCCTTAGCTAATTGAGCAGAAATTTCTGAATTGGTAAAGCATTTGAAAACATACTTTTTGTTGTTGAAAAAAACAGACCATTCCAAGACTGGTGGGATGACTCCAGTGACCTGAGTTCAGTCCCAAGGACACACATACAGGTGGAAGGAGAGAACCAATCCACACGGGGCGGGGGGAAGAGAGGGGAGAAGGAGAATTTTAAAAGGAGAGAAATACCATCTTGCAATGTCCTTTTCATGTACAGATTATGCAGAACTGGGAGAGCTCCCTCCGCGGTCCCCTTTAGAACCAGTGTGTGAAGATGGACCGTTTGGCCCTGTACCAGAAGAAAAGAAGAGGACGTCACGCGAGCTTCGAGAGCTGTGGAAAAAGGCTATTCTTCAACAAATACTGCTGCTCAGGATGGAGAAGGAGAACCAGAAGCTGCAAGGTTGGTTTGGAGTTGGAAGCCGACCAGAACTGATGCTATTAGTTGATCCTGTCCCACGGGATTTACTCTTAAAAACAACAATCAGTGTCAGTCTTAAAGCAACAAGTGATGGATGCTTGTCCTGTCTGTTTACCTTTTTAAAGTGACACTGGGCCATTTACTTTCCAGACATTTAAAGGGAATCTTCTTGTGTTACGTATTCCTCCCTGGCATCATAAGCGCCATGTCTATAACTTCTGAAATATAAGCATCATTTAAACTCTGACCCTCAAAAGTGGTTTATGTTGGTTGGTGGGTTGGTTTATGTTGGTTGGTCTGTTTGTTGTGATGGTAGTTCTGTGGTAGTTTTTGGGTTTTTGTTTTTATTTTTTTTCCTTTTTTTAATGCCCAGCCATAGTTTCTCCCAAGATATTGAGAATAAACCGATCCTATGTATATCCTTAAGATGTATAAGTTCATTGTATGTGGCTGTTTAGTGATTTCCTGAAGAAAAAAGTTATCTGAGCTTTACCTGTACAGATACCAGCTTTAGGTGAACTTCTCTGGACTGCCAGTGCCAAAATAAACACACAGAGACTTCTAAATCAGTATGAAAGATTCGCCTTAGCCAGGCTTATTCCCAACTGGCTCTTACAAATTTAAATTGACCTGTTTATATTAATCTGCTCATTACCTGTCTTCCATAGAGTACATCCAACTTGCTCCACATACCACAAGTGAATCCCACCTCTCTTCTTCCCAGAGTTCCTTTCTCTTCCCAGAAGTCCCGCCTGTCCTCCCCTGCCTAGCTACTGGCCGTTTGTCTCTTGATTTAATCAATCAGAAGGTGCTTTGGCAGCAACACATCTTCACAGTGTACAAAAAGATTATCCCGCTATAACCAACGTTATCAAACTATGACAGGAACTTAGAAAGGTTAGGTTTTGTTTCCTGATTCATTTTAAGACTTGAATCAATAGTTGCCCTTTTCAGAATAGCTCATGCATTTACATATGTGTCCCCTGTGGGAAACAAGCGGACTCTGGGGTGGGAAGCACTGCCTGGATTTAAGTGGGAAGTGAACACTCCTGCAGCAGGGGTTCTCTCATAGTTGCTTTGCTTAAGGCAGCTGCAAAATTAGTGTGTCTCATTGAACATTATCCTTGGTCATTGTTTTTGTCCTTTAATAAGAACCTCGAAGTTTGAATAAAGCTGAAAGTAACTAAGACACCAGATCTCATGGATGATCTCTCAGAATGTGTTGTGTCCCATGAGGCCCTGTTGGTTAGGACTCCGCTGCTCTTCTTTGCTGGTGTCACAGTGAGCGGCTGTCCGTCATGATGAGGCCTCTGTGAGTTACAGCAGCACCAGATACCAGGACTACAGCTCCTGCTGCTGAGAAAGGTGCAAAGTGATAGACTCAGCATTGTTAGGTTTGATCAGGAAGCAGTGAACTGAAGGAACAAATCTTGTTGATGGGACTGTAGTCCAACCGTGTTGTGTGATGTTTTACTCTTTTGGCTTTTTGGGGGGCCCACCACCCAGCTCCCAAATAAATCACACACAGAGGCTTATTCTTACTTATGAATGCCAGACCATAGCTTGGCTTATTTCTAACCAGCTTTTCTTATCTTAAATTATCCCCACTACCTTTTGCCTCTGGGTCTTATCTCTATTACTTTGTCTTATTTTCCTTCTTACTCCATGGCTGACTGGGTGACTGGCCCTGGTGTTTTCTTCTCCTTGTTCTCTTGCTCCTCTCCTTCCTTGTTTCTCCTCCTATTTGCTCTCTCGGCCTAGCAGCCCTCCCTATCCTTGTTCCTGCCTTGCTACTGGCCATTCAACGCTTTCTTAGCCCATCAGGTGTTTAGGCAGGCACAGCATCGCAGCTGCGCAGAGTTAAACAAATGCAGCATAGACAAAAGCTGCACACCTGAAAATCCTGCCCGCACAGCAGCTGGAGCGATGCTTAGACATGAGGCCAGCGCTCACTGCTGAGAAAGTCGAAGCTAAGAGTCGGTTGTCCTGTCAGGGTGCTCTAAGCTCTCGGAGTACAGGAAGGGCAGTTTTGAATAGGTCAGTATTAAGATTTTTCCTGCTTTATTCTTACTCCTTTTTCCTTGTGTACTCTTAAAGGTAATTCTAAAAGCAGGTATGTAAAAAACTTTTAAAGAGACAAAGGATATCCAACGGTGGCACTGAGTTCCCCTTGTGTTGGTCATCTGCCACTGGGCATGGGGCCTGCCCTTGAAAGTGGTCTGTATCCGCAGTGAGACTCCCATGGAGAAAACTAATTTTTCATTTGCAAGTGGTTATCAGTTAGAGATGGCTTCGGTGGGGGGGGGGGGGCTTTTGTCCCCGTCTCTCAGCACTGGTGCCCATCTGGCGATGCCCACACAGGCGCTGTGCATGTGGCCACAGTTTCTGTGAGTTCATATGTGCAGTCCTGACGTGTTTAGAAGGCCGTGTTTCTTTGATGACCCCCTTTCTCTCAGACTTTTATGATCTTGCTTCCTCCTCTTTGGTAAGGTTCCCTAAGCCGTGAGGGGAGGAAACTGATGGAGACATCCTGTTTAGAACCGAGTGGTCCGGACTCTCTCACCTTGTCTGATTGTCTGACTGTGGATCTCTGTATTTGTCTCCATCTATTGCAGAAGGAACCTTCTCTGATTAGTCGGGGCATTTATTTGTTTATTTATTTTTATTTTTAATGTTTTTGTTGGTTTTGTTTTATCTTATGGGCCCTTTGTGTATATATTTTAGCTTCATACACACAAACACACACACACAGAGGCAGGGGGGTGCCAACGATAATAATAAATAAAAACATCTTATGGCCATAGCATTACAAAGTGTGGCATCAGGTAAATAACAGCTGTGTATTTGGAGATCTTTGTTGGCATCTGAAAAGGCAGAGATTCTCATTATGTGGGTCCTAACAGTGCTTTTCAGCCAGTCAAAAGGAAAACCGAGGTATACCTGTAGGAGCGTGAGTCGGGCTGCCTCTTGGGAGTATTAGAAGTCATGACTATAATTGGTGAAGTAGAATCAGTATACCTCAAAAGCAAAGTGCGTGCTGCCTTGCCAGGGATGAGTAGGTGGATCAGCATGAGCAGCTGAGTGTATAGTGTTGCCCTAGTCACCTTGCCAGGGCTGTGATACAGTCTGGCTGCCTTTCAGGTTTATTGGCAGTGCTTATTCTGGTGGTCTTGGAGCGTTACTGCTTGAGCTCATTCATCTTACCCATACAGCCCAGGAAATGTTTGTCTTGTGGTCAAAATGTAATCAACTTGCTAAATTTAATATAGGAAGCATTAGTCCATTAGTTTGTGCTATGCCTGTATTACTGAGAAATAATCAACAACAGCAAGCTGATTGCTTAAAATATTAAAATACTAAAAATACTTAGTAATATTGGTCGGAGTGATTGGGGAGGCATAACTTTCTCATTGACATAGAAGCTTGGTCAGACGGGACCCAATCAGAAGGTGCACTGTGTTCACGGAACCATTCATGCACTTCTTAAAAGAAGTTGAAGTTGCAGGTGTGAGTGGCCCCTGAAATTGACCAGGATCCAAGCTGGCTTGCATGCTGTTGTTGAAAGAAAATAGAGGAGCCCACATGACAAGGACTTCCTCTCACTAAGCCTGCGTTCTGCCTTTTGAGTATATGATCCAGTACTAATTACTGCTCCGGAAACCTTCCATCCCAGAGCAAAGTTAACCCCACCATCTCAGTCTGTCTGTCTGTCTGTCTGTCTGTGCTGTCAACACTTGGCAGCTGGGATTGTGGTTTTTCCTAGGGACACAGAAAACTGGTGCTGATGTTGGGACTGATGCGTTGTCCTAGTTGGCTTTCTATTGCTATGATAAAACACTAAAAAAAGAAAGAAAGAAAGAAAGGGAGGGAGGGAGGGAGGGAGGGAGGGAAGGAAGGAAGGAAGGAAGGAAGGAAGGAAGGAAGGAAGGAAGGAAGGAAGGAAAGAAGAAAAGAAAGAAAGAAAGTCAACATAGAGAGGAAAGAGTTTATTTGATTTGTAGGCTACCGTCCATCACCAAAAAAACAAGGGCAGGAACTGAAGCCGAAGCCATGGAGAAACGCTTCTTACTGACTGGCTTCCTTCACCTGCCTTGCTCAGCTACCTTTCTTACACAGCTTTCAGTCTCTGGATGGGGCATAGTTAGGTGGTCTGACTAGAGATACATCTTCAGGTTTCTAAGAGGAGGAAAACAGGTGGCCTCAATGTGGCTGTGCTGTTGGCTGCCTGGGCCGACCTCGCAGCAGTCGCTCCGGCTGGCAGCCCTGGGGCCTCTACTCACCTCCCCCACTCATCTCTTCCAGCCTCTGAGAATGATCTGCTGAACAAACGCCTGAAACTTGATTATGAAGAAATCACTCCTTGTCTTAAAGAAGTAACCACCGTGTGGGAAAAGATGCTTAGCACTCCAGGGAGATCCAAAATTAAATTTGACATGGAAAGAATGCACACAGCTGTTGGGCAAGGTGAGTGTGACCTTCTGTGACGGCGAGAAGGGGAGTGAGGGCACTTGTGAGCCTCGTTTTTGTGACAGTCTGGCCTTGTCATCCTTGCTCTGTGTTTCCAGATGTCTGATTGATTGATGTGGGTTCCACCACCATTCATGATCTTTACAGTAATGAAAATGCCCGGAAAACCAGGGACCAGTATGTTGACGGGAAAACCCAAAGCTTAGTTGCCTGTGAGCTGGATAAGTGATACGATAAATTAATTAGGAAACTAAAGAGAAACCGCATGTGGTTTCTTGCTGGTTGGGTTCTATGCTAGGGAAACAACAGAGTGCTCAGCTCATCTAGCAGGGGTCTGGGTTTGGACCACATCCAGGTAAGCACTTTGTAGTGTGATCTTCAGCAAAGATAACCTCTCTCCGTGAGCCCCACCTGGTTTTTAAATTTGTTTTAAAAGATGTATTTCATTTTTAATTATGTGTTTATGTGTGAGTCTGTCTATGTGAGTGCCCATGTATATTTGTGAGTCTGCATGTGAGTGCCCACAGTCGTCAGAGGCAGTGGGTCCCCAGAGTGTATCCGTGTGAGTGCCCACAGTCGTCAGAGGCAGTGGGTCCCCAGAGTGTGTCCATGTCGGTGCCCACAGTCGTCAGAGGCAGTGGGTCCCCAGAGTGTGTCCGTGTGAGTGCCCACAGTCGTCAGAGGCAGTGGGTCCCCAGAGTGTATCCGTGTGAGTGCCCACAGTCGTCAGAGGCAGTGGGTCCCCAGAGTGTGTCCGTGTGAGTGCCCACAGTCGTCAGAGGCAGTGGGTCCCCAGAGTGTGTCCATGTCGGTGCCCACAAGCGGCAGAGGCAGAGCTACGGGCGGTTACATGATAAGGAAATCAGTCTCAGGCCCCTTGTGAGAACAGTAAATACTCTGAGGTGCTGAGCATCATTCTAGCTCTGAGCCTCAGCGTGTACATGTGTAAAGTGTGGCTGACAATGGTGGTTGTGAAAAATAAATGAACTGAAACCCAAGAGCATGGCACCTGAGTCTGCTGCCCTAGATAGTTTGGGAGGTGGGAAGTGTGGGCGCCTTTTCCTGCCGTCTGCCAGTACAGATTTGCTTTGTCCCTGCAGAGGTGGGCACAAAACTTGAAATGAAGTCTGGAAATGGTTCCAGCAATTTGTCACAAAATTTGTTTTTTGTCTCAAAAAAAAAATGTGTCTGTCCTTTGTCATTGTATTTCTCTCATTTTTTTCGTAACTTACTAGGTTGGCAGACTAAGTAACAGGTTTTGCCATTTTCATGACTGTGTGTCATTTACCTTGTTCCCAGTTGTTTTTCCCAGCTGTTTCTCTCCCCAGCCTCTGCCCCAGCCTCTCTCTCACTTTGTTTTGGTCTGATTCATTGTCACTCTCTGTGTTCCAGTAAACAGTCTAATTTCTCTTGGTGACCGCTGGTGTGAGTGGGAGCCTGCTGAGAGTAATCTGTTGTACTTAATGCTCCTGAGCTCTGCTCCGTCTAGTTCTGAATACCAGGATCTGAATGAGGGCTGCAAGCACAGACACAGTGCAAGGTTTCCTGTGGTTGAGTAGGAGGAAACAGCGTGCATGTGTTCCTCACTGCTAAGAGGCCATTGGACTAAGCAGTTGTCTACCATGGTCGTTTTCTTTTAATAAAGATTTTTTATTTTTATTTCTATGTGTATGGATGTTTTACCTATATGTATGTCTGTATACCATGTGCATGTTTAGTGTGCAAGAAGATCAGAAGAGGATGTCAGATCCCCTGGAACTGGAGTTATAGACAGTTGTGAGCCACCATATAGGTGCTGGGAATTGAACCCAGGTCCTCTGAAAGAGTGATCAGTGTCTTTGGATTGAGCTGTAAGTCCATCCCTTTTAGACATCCTTAAAAACCTTCTACTGTGCTGGGGAGATAACTCAGTGGATAGAACTCTCTCTGTGGAATTCACATCCCCAGAACCCATGTAAAACTTAGACAGGTGGTAACTAAGTCCAGAGACCAGGATTCCCTAGGAAGGCTGACTAGCTGGACCAGTCAGACCTCCAGGTCCAGTGAGAACCCTGACTCCAAAGCTAAAAGAAGAGCAATTGAGGAAGATCCTTGATGCTAGCTTTTGTGGTATGCATATGCACCTGTGCATTCAAACAAACTCATGCAAATAGATGGAATAAGTAAACAAAGCCGTTTACTGAGCTTTGACAGCAGGTGTCCCGTTGCTAGTTTTGACCTTCTCTTCCTACGAGTTAGGGAGACTTGGGTGATAGTGGCCTCAGGCCCTCAGCTTGCAGGAAGTCTCATCACCATGCCCAGCTGCATCTGGTTGAGCCATGCCTCAGAGCGCTGTTCTCAAGTCCCATGTGTGTGGGATAGAGCTGGAGGCGTGTTCTGCACTGCTTTCCATGGGATCTGGATAGGAGTCTGTACTTCTGCCTCCTGACTGGCAGCAGGGGAAGCCTGGCCCAAGCTGTCACTCTTGCACGATCCTGCAGTGCGGATGGATCTGGCACCCATTGTGGCTGCTGCATTGTGACCTTCATGATGGGTGGTCGCAGGTGGCTATTTTGAAAAGTTAGGAAGCAGAAACGAGTGCACCATCTTTCCCTTCTCACAGTTAGCTAGGTGACATGTTGAAGTGGTACCTCGGCTGCAGTAGCCTGCCCTGGCAGCTGCTCCAAATATTTGAGCATCTCAGAGCCTTGCAAACCTGGGCATTTATTTCCCATTCCATGTGGTGAGGAGATGATGGGCTCCAGGTATCTGGACCCTCTGGGCTGGAGTCGGGCCCGGTTGTGGGGCACGTCATAGGCTGTCATAGATTGCGGTAAGCCAGGGCTGGTCTGGAATTCCTTTGACTTCTATGACTTGGTCATTCCCTGAAGGAATGTAAACAGTCAGAGGCTCCGTCATCCAGTTTCAACACGCAAAGACTTAGCAACTTCAAACAAATGACCAATGCTCATCCGAGCCTCAAACTTTTTAAATAATACTAAACCAAAACCTTGACTTTGACCTTCTAAGTAGAGGTGACTGTGAAACAGAGGACAGTCTTTGTGTAACTGATGAGGCTTTTCCTCCCAGTAGGGACTTAGAAATTTTTCCAAGTTAACATGAGATGGGAGTAGCACGATTAAGGAGTCAACTTGGGAAAAGAATTCTGCGGAATATTAAGTAACTCAAAGTTTTATGGGCCTCAGATGACTTCTTGAAAGGCAGAAAAGTTCAGAATCCTAGAAGCAAATAGCTGTGTCTCTCAGTATGTTAGTGTGAAGTGGCCATAAGCAATCTGCAGAATGGGTCAGATGCAAACTCCACTTACCTTTGACCCAGCAATGCAATTCCCAGAAACTTATTCTAGAAATTAATCAGCCACAGATTGCTACGATAAGAATGCTTATTCTATTTTTTTTTAGTAGCTGAAACCAAAACAAAGCCCAGTCATGTGACCATCCATGCATCTTCTCGGGAAACAGCACAGTGGGCGTTTCCATGTGTGAGAGAAGGGTAGTACTCGGTCTCACAGTTGGTCTCTCACACAGAGACACCCTGGCGATGCTTTGCTGATGTCTAAGTTAGAGGTGGGTGAGTGTGCCTCCTGGGCCATCGGGCACAGTGCCCCGTGCTAACTCTTGTCCTGATAAAATGAGCAGTAGGGGTTCTCCTCCCCACTTTCTGAAGCTTTCTGTTGTGAATGTTAGAAGTATATGTCCACCCTGGTTATGAGTGGGGTTTTGCTTTTCATCTTATACCCTTGCATTGCCAGAGTTTTCCCCTTTATAGCAGTAAGCGTATATTAGTTTCACATTGGTGAAATAGTTATTCACACATGAGCTGAGTGAACAGACTTTTTTAGCCAGAATTCCCTGCTTCTATGACCAGGTTTCCTCTTGAGCTTAGGAGAAAGCAGAACTGAGCATGGGGGAAGATGTTCCAGGACATTCTGAGCAAGAGCCCCGGGTCTGACTGAATGACTTTGCTTTTCTGCCTCAGATTTGGCTAATCCTGTGGTATGCGAGTATCCGGTGCTCACTGGTAGCATGGCCAGTATTCTCTTCCTCCCCAAAATAAAGCCCGATAAGATAAGGGGAATGATTTAGGAACAAGAGAAAGCTGGACATCTAATTGGGAAGAATTTCCAGTCTGCCAGAAAGTATTTGGTGGAAAAGCCCCTCTATATATCATTCATCCTGCTGACTATGATCTTGTTCACTGTTTGCTTTTATTCGGAGTTTGGAGTATTACAGGTTTGCTGTGTGTGTGTGTGTGTGTGTGTGTGTGTGTGTGTGTGTGTGTGTACATCTAAGGCAGACCCGAGCAGGAATGGTAAGCAAAGATGTAAGAAAGCCGCTGTCAGGGGCTGCTAGGTTCCTGTTGCTGGCACAGTGACTAACTACAGACTCGGTGACACAAGTTAGCCAGGGAGCGGGCCCAGGGGGAGACGTGTGCGCAGGCCTGGTGACCTGAGTTCAGTCCCCGGGTTCCTCAGAGTGGAAGGAGAACCAGATCTTGAGAACTGTCTTCTGACTGCCACACAAGCATGGTGGCACACGTGTGCCTACACGTACACACACCCAAAGGTTTTCTTTAAAATAAGTTTGAAGACCTGTACACATTCAAGACACACAAAATTCCATTACTGGGAAGGCGAAGGAAACATGAAACCCCACCCCTAACCAACATGCTCTTTGGAGCTGATAGCTGCCGGCCCAGGAAAATCCATTTTCTCCAACAGTATGCCACATTCCAGGCCAGGTCTATGCTCTGAAGTAGTTGACCAATGCAAAACAGACTCCGTAGGTTTAGAGAGGTTTCTGTGTGTGTGTTTGTTTTAGCTTGGTATTTTTTTTTCTTGTTTGATTTCAGGGGGATGTTTTACTTTCAGAGAGAGAGGAAGAACATAAAGTTAGGGAGGAGCTGGAAGGGAAGAATATGATCAAATATGTTACATGAAACATTTAAAAACTGGGGAGAAAAAATGGAGAGTGACATTAATCAGAATGTATTGTACACATGTACAAAAATTATCAAGTAAATTTAACTTTAAAAGGTAAAACACACACACATTTTTTTTTCTCTCTCACAGTTCTGAAATCCCAAGTCCAGATGTCAGCCCCCGCTGTACCTGGCTTTTCCAGCTTTTGCTGGCTGTAGCATTTTTTAAAAAGATTTATTTATTTATTATGTATACAGTGTTCTGCCTACATGCATGCTGACAGGCCAGAAGAGGGCACCAGATCTCACTGTAGGTGGTTGTGAGCCACCATGTGGTGGCTGGGAATTGAACTCTGGACCTCTGGAGGAGCAGGCAGTGCTCTTAAACACTGAGCCATCTCTCCAGCCCCCGGCTATAGCATTTCTAGACAGAAACTCTCCTCTGCTTCCATGGGAACACTGGCTTCTCTTTTCAGCTCCTTCTCTGGGTGCTGCTGTCAGGGACCCTTGTCTCAAGGTACAGAGTTGCAATTACAGTGATGATGTCATAAGTCCTGGCGTTAGCTACATCTATAGAAACAAAGCCACTAGAGGTTCAAGGTTAGGAAATGGATCCTGCTCAGAGTCATCAAGTTAATGCTAAGATAAACATTTAGAGGATGTGTGGGATGTGGTCACTTAGTTAGGCCTTCCTTGCATTTATCCCAAGCTGATATACAGAGTGGGGAAAAACCAACAACTGTCCAGGTACCTTGACCCACTCAAGATATCTTCCTTCTGGTTGGTTCTCTTTCCTTTTCCTTCATCTTGGCTTGCACAGAGGCTGTGAGATCTTGATTGCTGAGATACACAGAGCCACTCGCTTTCACCTGAGCTCTGTCTCACTTTGATTCACTTCCTTTGCTGAGACCTCGTATCCCTCTTTCATTTCTTAGAGCATTTTAGTTGGCTTTAGGTGGGGTCGGGATTTCTGCCATACTCACAGGTTTGTCCTTTGCAGAGTATGACCTGGTCAGATCATAATGTATCTTTTAGAAGGTGAAAGACAAGAAGGAGGGCTAAGGGGAGGGAAAAATGAGAGGTGGGAGGGATGGAGGAGGAAACGCAACACTTTTTCTGTTGCTTCCTGTGCTGTTAATTCATAATGGAATAAGAATTTCATTCACTGGAGACTAGGGGGATGGCGCAGTCAGTAAAGAGTGGCCTCCCAAGCATGAGGGCCTCAGTTGGTTCCCAGAACCTATGTCAAAGCTGGGAGTGACCACACATGGTTGTAATCCCAGCTAAGGAGGCAGAGATGGGCAGATGCCTGGGGCTCACTGGCCAGTTTAGCCTACTTGGATAATGCAGCCCAGTGAGTGACCATGTCTCTGAATAAAGTGGGTATGTACCTGAGGAACAGCACCGAGAGTGTCTTCTGCCCTCCACGTGCATGTGTACCCATACACACATGTTCCTGCACATGTATAGGCATGTATACTCACAAAGAACACACACTACACACGAGTTTGCAACAACGAGAAAGGACACAGTTCATTTTTTATCAATGATCGAATTCTGTGCATAAAGTCTGGTTTAACATTTTCCACTCTGCTAAAGGTGTGCCACGCCATCACCGGGGTGAGATCTGGAAATTTCTAGCCGAGCAGTTCCTCCTTCGACATCCATTTCCCAGTAAACAGCAACCAAAGGATGTGCCCTACAAAGAACTCTTGAAGAAGCTGACCTCCCAGCAGCACGCCATTCTCATCGACCTCGGTGAGTCTCCCCACCCCTGGAGACAAGAGTTCCACACTTGAGAATCTGGAGAGATGGCCAGGTCGTTTAGTGATCTGCCCTTGGGCTTAGCAGTTACAGTTGAGTGCTGAGACTTCATTTCAAAACCCTACAGTGGTCACAGCCGTCCTCTGAGAGAGCATAAGCATCTCCCTTTTTGCATGGTGGCTGACTTGTTCTGGGGCATGGAGAAGGGTAAGTGGTCATTAAGGATGTAGAGACATAATTCTGCTTTAGTTCAGTAATTCATATTTTCAGCAATGGCTTGCGGCAGACTGAAGAAGCATCCTGGGAAACACACTGGCTTAGTTACAGGAGAAACACACTAGATTGGTTTAGTTTCAGAGAAATGCACTGGCTTGGTTTAGTTTTAGGAGCATCCCTTGGACTGTGGTGTGCAGACAGAACTCATCAGAAAAGCTGTAGAAAGCTGTGTGTTTGCAGGTTCATCTCGGAAAGTGGACAGTGCCTTATTTCTGGAATAGCTTTTAAAACACAAGAAGGAAGCAGTGTGCTGGAAGTCTTTGCAGTTGCCATGGGGAAGACCTCACTGACTTAGAATGGAATTACGTTGAACAAGAGACGCTCTGACTGCTGGTGGCTAAACAGGGGTGGAGGTGGCTGGGTGCCCTCTCCGCCCACTCACAAGGCCTGTCTCTGCTGCGGGGTGCTGGCTCCATGGCTGCAGCTCATTTACTGCTGGTGGAGCATGTGGTCCTGCTATCAGAGTGCCAGTTCTGGGTGTCGAGACCGTCTCTGTGCCACCCCCTCCTCCCCGGTCTCCTGTCTTTGCTCAGGGACTGCAGTGGCCCCATTCTATGGGTACGTCACTTGCTGCAGCCACAATGGAGAAGGTGGGCTGGGTCAGTCAGGAGTCGGTTTCAAGCCATACACTTCATGCTCCCATACAATCTTCAGGCTACTCTGCAGTGCTGGCTTTAAATGTCATCGTTCACATTGCACACAGATAAGTGCACAGAGAGGTCCTATAACCTGTATAAATAAATATTCCAATAAGCAGTGTGACATGAGAACTTTGTTCCCTCCTGACCCCTGGTTCTGCTCGGTAGAACGCAGCCGCCCATGGCTACCTGTGGACTATATTACAGTACACTCTCAACCCCAAGGACAGTACCCCACACATAGTAGGTACTTGTATCTTTCTACCACGTCAGTTGGGAGGCACTCTCACACACCTCCCGCCTCCTCTCTGGGAACCTGACCCTCTGTCCTCAGAAATGAGGAAACTGACATTGAGCAATCAAGTCACATGGTCGTCAGAGCAGAGGTACGGGACCTGTCCCCTAACATTCTGCCATCCCTAAGACTGTCAAGCCCAGCAGGCTTCATGTTGCCAAGGAGATGCTAGGCAAGTAAAGGGTGATGCTGACAGGCATGGCAGGCCTCCAGTCAAAGCCCTTCTGGTACGGTGACCCTGAGGGTGGATGACTGTTTGTACATTGGCGGGTAAGTAACAGAAACAGTGACATCATGTTCCCATCATGTGACGTGAGCTGAAGTTGGGGTAGGAGTGTGATAGGGAGTGCAGATCACCTCTTTCCTGCCTTCCCCCCTCCTCCATAGCTTGGGAGGAGGAGAGAAAATGGAGGCGAGACTTCCCTCCCTGTTCTGCATTTTGTTCCATTGACTTCCTGTCTGCGTGGCCCTCACTCTTCCTGGGCATGGTCAGCCCTCTGCCTCAGACTGTTTGAATGTCACCACTTTTCTGAAGAAAGAGCATGAAGTCCAGCTTGACCACACGCCCCTGCCCCCACCCCCACCCCACCAGCCAGGCCTCGCCCTAGGAAGTAGTGTTTGTCTGAGCCCAAGCTCAGTGGCCTCTCCCCTAGAAAACAGCCTGATTCACATCCTCCCTGCCCCTGCTTGGCCCCACCCTCTCCCTTCTGCTCCCAAGGCCAGTTACACCCAGCCCCCACTGTGTTGGCCCTTCTCTTTCCTCACCTCTGGTCCAGTGCTTGCCTGGTCTCCACTTTGGATGGCCTCCAGGCCTCCTCCCAAGGGTCTAAAGAACCTCTATTTGCAGTAATCCGTGTCCCAAGTTACCTCCACCAGGCTCCTAGTGATCCAGGGATACTGCCAGCATTAGCTCTTGTCCCTGTGTGAACCAGAAATCCTGGTTGCTGGCCCAGACCCAGAATTGGAGTCTGGGTGCCCTTCTGCAGGGATCTGGCTCTGCTGTGAGTTGACATCAAGTAGGCCTGGCCCAGAAGGACTCCAGCTCTGGCTGCTGTCCCTACCAGCGGGACACGCCAGAGCTCACCTCACCCCACCGGCCCTTGTTGAGCCCACACTGTGTACTTTGTATGTACAGTGGCAGTCTCTGGCCCAGGGAAGGTATGTGCTATAAAGTGACACCACAGTCTAGTTCCTTCAAAGTGGCTTTCCTATACTGCCCAGAAGAAAAAGCATCATTGATGGGAAGTATTTTGGCTTTTCATGGGTTGTTTTCCTGTCTCTTGCTTTATTTTATGAAACCGAGCCTTTTGGTTAAACAGCTTTTTGCAAGATTTGTTCCTTCAAGAAGTAAAACTAGTCAACCTTACAGTTTAGCCGTGTTCTCTAGTTTATAAAATGTGATTTCACACGTGGCCTGACTTCACCTCTGCATGGCCTGCTGCGGACTGTGTGATTAGTTTACTGTGGAAGCAAGAGCTGGGGTGGCGCTTTGACAGGCTCTGTGCAGAGTCCTTCGTGTTTGTGCCTCATGGCCTGGCTTCCTGGCTCTGTGTACTGCTTCTTTACATGTCTCCCGGCCTTTCCTTCAGCACAGACCTCAGCCAGCCTGGAGAGAGCTACCAGGCTTAGCAGGTGTCACCCTGGCTCCAGCTCCATCTTCTGGCCTCCTGATGGCAATAGCCTTTCTCCTCAGTTCTGTGACTCTCCATACTGGTGGATAACATGGAATGCCAAGATCCTGCCTTGTGTCTGGGGCTCCTGTTCACTTCTGGCTGTTGATGGGAGCTCCAGACATCTTCCTTGGCACCCGCCCTAGCATGTCAGCGATTATCTGTCTCTACCCAGTGACTCTGCACAGGCTCTCCTGTGATGGGGGGTAAGATGGAGGACAGGGGCCTTGGTAGAAAGACCACAATCCAGTCCAGAGACACAGAAACATCACTGAGTCGAAGCAGGAGTTGGAATTGCCCCTCCCTTCTCTGTACCAACTCCTTGCAGTCTTGTTACCATATATGAAATGACTCCGTGAGGGTCCCATGAGTCTCTCGGTGGGTTCCAGTTCTTCCCTCTTCTTTTCCTGTGTCAGGATCTCACTGTGTGGTCCAAACCCCACGTACCCTGCCTACATCGCATTGCATCAGTTACAGGTGTGCCGCCATTTTTGATCTCAGAAACGTTGTTGACAGCCTTTTTAGAGATGCTTCCCCTGGGAAACCCAGGCGTGGCAGGGTTACCTGTGCCTGCAGGGAGAGGCAGAGAACATTCATCAGAGCCACTCGGGCGCAGGGTCAGGCTAGGTACTGTCATGGGCTTTCTTTCCACTCAGTGTGTTTTAACCAGAGACTTCAAACCTGAGGCAGAATTTTCGCTGCCTTTTTAGAATTCATAAAAGATGAGCAGGTCTGTATTGCTAACTGAGGGGTACAGTTAAACAGGTGAAAAACCTTGATGGCAAAAGACAGAAATATGCCTAGAATTTGTTCTGCTGCCACACTAGCCTGTGTGTATCCAGCCTGAGACTGGACTCTGTTCTGTGGAAATCAGTTAAACATCACCGTTCTGGAGGGTAATAAATTCCTGTTCCAACAGCGCCACGAATTATTCGGAAGAGTGTGTGTGTCTGATCTTATCGGGATCTCAACATGAACTCACTTTGTTTGGTCATTCCAACTATGCCCTAGGTGACTGTGTCAGCTGTCAACCCCACAGGATCTGAAGTCACCTGGGAGACCAGCCTCTGGGCAGGTCTGTGTGGTTATCTTGATTATGACTACACGATGTGGGAAGATCTACTGTCTGAGTTGTGAGGGAGGACGTTCCCTGGACAGGGCATTCTGGACCGTGTGGAGAGCAGAAGACAGCTCAACACTAGCACGGAAGCACTCACTGCCCTTTTCTGACTTCAGATGTAATGTGGCCAGCTGCTTCCAGTGCCTGCCGCCTTGACTTCCTTCAGCTGCGAACTCAGATAAATTCCCTCTGCCTCGAGCTGCAGTGTCAGAGTGTGTTATCGCAATGGCAGCCACCTCGCAGCAAGGAAACAAAGTGTGAACGATAAATGAGTAAAACTGAGGACCATTTCCTTCCTTTCCCACACCCTTCCAGTCAGCCAGTGGTCTTCAGAAACTTCTCAGTAGCCATGTCCTCCCAATGCCTCAAAAGACCTCTGGAGTTTAGTTTTCAGTGTCAAGACTCCCACCATATCCGGGTTTAGGCTGCCCACCTGAAATCCTAGGTGGCGGGTTGGCACGGGTGCTCACGTGCAGAGCCCCGGGAGCTAGTCCAAGCAGTCACGCTAACTTCAGTGCCTCTGGACACTTAGGCACTTAGGACAGAGCGCACACATGCCGTCAGCTGCAATTGCAAAAGGTCTTCTTGGGCACCTAGATGTGCTGTGCACTGCAGGAAGCTCACTGGAGTGGCAGGGCACACACAGAGCCCAGATCTGATGTCCTGCTCTGTCGCTTTCCACCGCCTTTGACGCAGGGTCTCTGAACCTGGGCTAAACTGGTGGCCCTCAAGCCCTCCTGACTCCACCCACCCGCAGTGCTGGAAGTACAGGCATGCTTGTGACCACAGCCGCTACTTATGTGGATTCTGGGGGTTTGAGCTCCGTTTTCTCTGTGCATGCAGCAAGTACTGTCACCCACCAAGTCATCCCCCAGTCCAGGGGTTTCTTTGTGCCCATCTGACAGTTTCCAACTGTTAATTTTGGGGGGGGGGGTCTATGAAAGTAGCCTGCATCTCCTTTAGCAGAAGTTGAAGGGACCCGCAGTTCTTTACCAAGTCTCATGGTAAATCATAACATGTAGTTTACTAAAGAAGGAAGTCCTACTCGAGTGGGTTTGTGCAAGGACTCCTCAGTTTCTTACTCTTCTCTGGCAGGGTCTTCTAGAGCCAGTGGTATACCTAGAGGTTATTCTGCCAGGCTCATGCAGGAGAGACTTAGCCCTGGACTTTCATGTTATTATTCCCAAAGTGTGCCAAACAGTGCACAGCCACCGCTGGTTTGCCTGAGGTCAGCAGCTTTGAGTGAGCAGTGAGGCATATGGACCACCAATGGCCCTGGGTATACGTCACAAAGGCCCTGGCTGTGTCAGTGACGAGACTTCCGGAAGGCCTGCTGAGGTGTGCGCTGAGGTGTGCCTTCCTGGGGCTGCCACACTAGCCCTGGCTTCACAGGAGTGGCTTGTCCAGGAAACGTTGTTAATCCGGATGGTCCATTCTCTTCGCAGTACCCTGCCTTCCTCTTTTCTGGATTTGCAGCCAGGAAGGCAGAGAAGCTGTGTTCGCCTGGAACAAGGGTTTCCTAACTTGGGAGGTCAGGATCCCTTTCTCTTTCAAATTGAGTAGCCCAACGAGTTTTGGCTTATATGGAAAACGCATTAATATTTACTGCATTAGAAATTAAAACCAACACAGTTAAAAAATACTTAAGTTTTCGTTTTAAAATTACTGAGAGACTCACTAGACAATGAAAACCGACTATCTTCCGAAAGAAAATCAGTGATGACTTACGACACTGTGTTATAGATTTAAAAGAAAACCTTTCATAGCTTACTTAATAGGACCAAAGGATTATCACGTTACCTTCATTTAGTCTGCTGTTGTTATAGTCTTTGAAGAAAAAAGGAAAGACCGACTTTATATGGATCTGAAGTTGAAAACAGAAAGGTGGCCCTCACAAACTCTAAACAGGCTTCACAGACTCCCAGGATCCTCTGGCTGGAAGCGAGAAGCACAGGGCTAAAGGTGAGGTGGCTCGGTTTGCCTCCAAGCCTGACAAACCAGGTTTGGTACCAGAACCCACAAGGTTGGAAGAGAGAACTGACTTCTCCAACTTGTCCTCTGGCTGTCACATATAAGATGTACATAACCTTTGACTTCCCAATAAGTAAGTAAATAAACAAGCATCTTTTTAAATAGGGAAGAGGAGTGTACATGCTGGGCTGGCCTGTCTCAGGATGTGCTCCAGGCTGCCTGCCAACCAGTGAGGGAACGGAGTGAGAAGGGCGTATGCTGCCTGCTTCTGATAATCCAAGGAAAGCAATACTCTTGGCCCATTCAGTACAGACGCCAAAAGTGACTGTGGAGTTCTTGAAATGTGATGAGCCCAAATTAAGGTGTGCTGTCATTCACAAGAACCCACTGGAATCCAATGCCATGTGAAAAGAGAAAGCAAAATGCCTTGATGTTTTCATATTAGTTACATATTGAGAGGATAATATTGTATATGTTTAATTAAACAAAACAGCTTATTCAAAAATAATTCCACCTGTGCTTAGAAAAGTATTGTGTTTGTATATGATGTATATATGTGACTATGTGTGCCATGGTACATGTGTGGAGATCTGAGGATAGTTTTGTTACATCAGCTCTCTCTTTCCACCCATGCATGGGTTCCTTAGGTCAACAGGCTTACATATTGCCTTTACCCATTGAGCCATCTTGTTGGCCCTACCTGTAACTTTACTATGGCAGCTAGGCAGTATACTCAGAGCTTAACAAAAGTAATTGCCTGTTCTGCTCATGTGCACACCTTCAGTGCTGTCCGCACTGGAACTAGGGCTTGGAGACCCTGGGAATCTCCCTCACAGGTCTCACCCAGCCTCAAGGGCATATCTGGGAGTAGGAAATTAGTGTGTGCGTCCAGACTGATGCAGGGGAGTGTTTGTTTTGTGTGCACTGCTTGCTTCTCCCTAACAGTAGGGTGACTGTGCAGAGTATTTGGGGAATGTGTTGGAGAAAGAGGTATCAGAGACAGGAAGCGAACAGGGATTGAAAAGCAGGACCCTGTGGCTGTCTTCTGAAAACCCTGGTTCAGCCAAGTTCCATCAAGATGAAGTAGTGCTTTCTAGAGAAGCTGAGGACAAGCCTGTGGCTCTGGCCTTCTGCCCTGATGCTGCTGCTCAGTAACTCTGGCTAGCAGTTGCTGTGGCCCGGATGCCTGTGTCCACCCTGGTCCTGGGCACCTCTGTAACTTTAATGTGGCGCTTTCTGGTCACTGTTCCTTAGAAATCCTCTTCTCCACCTATCACCAGGATGTCACAAGAGGATTTGACAGGTATCAGCAGTAAAAGACTCCTGAATGAAACAAAGCATAAAAGGTTTTTATAAAAAAAAAAAACTTACTTTATATTTTCAACTTATTTATGACAGCTTCATTTATTTGTGCACACACTTGTGATGTAGCACACATGTTGATTGGAGGACACCTTGTAGAGTTAATTTTCTTCTGCCGAGTGTGTCCCTGGAGATCACAGCTGGACAACAAGCCCCACTGAGCCCTCTCACTGGTTCATGTCTATTTGATTTTGATACCAACTTTGTAGAAATAGTCATTATTTTTCTTTCTTTTTTAAAAGAATGTATTTACTTTTTGTGTGTATGTGTGTCCATACAGGTCAGGGGAGGATATTGGATAGGTCTCCTGGAACTGGAGCCACAAATGGTTGGAAGCACTATGTAGATGCTAGTGCTGGGAATCGAACCTGGGTCATCTGAAACAGAACCCAGTACTCATAACCACTAAACCATTCCTCCAGCCCCATGACTTTAAGACCTGTTTTATCCCCTGTTCAGAAGGTCACCGTTTTGTGTAAAGGAAAACACCCACTACCCCTTGGCCTGTCCAAGATCTCAGCCTCTTGTTTAAAAGTGTAGAAGAATCCCGTGGTGAGACCCACTTGTGGGCAGAACTTATGGTCTGGAAAAGCTTGTGGCAAAGATCTGTCCCAGCATGTGAATGACACGGGCTAGGGTTGATGTCTAGAAAGAGCCGTGCTCTTGAGAAGTAGGGTTCTGTTGTCAGGACTAGCGACTTTTTTCTTGTTTGAATCCAAATGTGATTGAAACACAGATATTTACTAGACAAAAGGTAATTATAACATTCTTCCTAAACCACCACTCACTGGACACGGTGGTGCACACCTCTAATCCCAGCGCCTGGGAGGGAGGGGATGGGCTACTCTCTGTGAGTTAAAGTCTCACCTGGTCTACACAGCAAACAAGTTCTAGGCCAGCCAGAGCTGTAAACTGGGATCCAGTCTCAAAAGAAAACAAACTAAATACAACTACAGAGCTATCGAACGTGCCATTCATTGTTGCAGCTGTTATATTAGGACCTACCACCTGCTGACCACATTCACAGGGCAGAGGTGGTGCTGAGGACACAGACGTTAGCACCCTTGGCCTCCAGCTGCTTCTCTAGTCCATGGGCCCCGTGTATGCTTTACCTGACCTGTGTTCTTTTCCCAGGGCGAACATTTCCAACGCACCCGTACTTCTCTGCCCAGCTCGGAGCAGGCCAGCTCTCCCTTTACAACATCCTGAAGGCCTACTCGCTTCTGGACCAGGAAGTAGGATACTGCCAAGGCCTCAGCTTCGTGGCAGGCATTTTGCTTCTCCATATGAGTGAGGAAGAGGCATTCAAGATGCTCAAGTTCCTGATGTTTGACATGGGGCTGCGGAAACAGTATCGGCCAGACATGATTATTTTACAGGTACCCAGCATTCCTGTGATGTAAATAGAGAGATGCTGAAGATGTGCATCCTTCCTCTTGGGCGGATCTAGGTTCTTCTCCCATGGTGGCTGCTGTTAACTCACTCATCTCTGTGCTTCCCATAATGGCTCTCAGGATGATGCTATTAATTGGGTCAGCTTGTAGACAGGAATATGAAGTTGGCCCAGGGCATGCAGCTAGACAGTGGGAGAGTTGGAATTTAAATCCAGGCCTGTCTGGCTCTAGAACCTTAACTCCTATCCCGTCCCTTCCTAGCAATGTTACTGGTGCCTCCAAGCCTGTGATCCGCTCCGTCCTCTGCCTGGGATCCTCTCTCCATCCCCACTGCCTGCCGTCCAGGGTTCAGCTACACTATCATATACTGTATCACAGAAGCTCCTCCTGCCTATACTGACCCTGCATCCCCTCACCCTAGACATGCCATTTCATGCTGTCTTGTCCCCTGCCTTCAGGACAACACGTTTCCTGCCATAAATCACCTTAGTTACTTCCTACCGTCTCGTGTCCTGATTTCCTTAGTGAGAGGAAAAGATTGCGTGAGTTGGACACTAGTCTCCACCAGTGCCTGGAATGGAATAGAAACCCTGTCAGTGAATGAACAAGTTTATCCAAAGAAAACCAAGCTGGTCTTGGTGTGTAAGTCCCAGTTTTAGGAGGCCGAGGCAGGAGAATCCAAAGTTGTCGGCTGTCCTGGCCTGTACAAGTGAGCTATATAGTGAGGCCCAGTCTCAAAAACAAACAAAAAGATGTAGCTCAGTAGTTGAGTGTTTTCCTAACGCGTGGTAAAGTTCTGGGTTCTATCCCCAGCTTCCAGGCAGGAAGGAGAGAAACCGACACAGCGGTGAGTCCGACTTGACAGAATTGTACTTGCTGCTTTCCAGAAGCGGAGAAAGCTCTGGGCCCTGATCTGGAGGTGACCCTAAGCACTGCTTAACTGTTGGGGGACCTGCTCATTTATGCATTTCCCAGGAGGATTCTATAGCTTCAGAGCTCTAGAATGTACCGTCAGAACTGAGGGCTTGGTTTGAAAACACCAGTATGTGTTATTGAAAGTCCATTTGACTCTCGCTGGAGGTGTGAACCCCATGTACATGAACCCCACAAAGGCAAGCCACCACCGTGAGATGAGACTAGCTCCCTGAGCGGGCTCCTCCTCCATCCCGCCACCGTCTTTTATGTGTGGTAGCCGTCACCAGAGTGGAGCGGCTCAACTTTACAGCACTTTACCTACTCTACAGGCTCTTTTGTGCTTTAGCAGAATTAGCTTTTCATTCAGATGCTTGGAGGGTGCCGGAGAAAACTTATGACCTAGTTGTATTTCAGTTTTCCCAGTTACGGACGTACATATCCACCCCAGTGTCGTGTCAGATTCCGGCCTTCTCTCAGTTATTTTGTCTTTAGGCTCTTGTCTGCTTGAGGTCCTGTGTGAGCCACAGGCTACACGGAATGGGGTAAGCTTCCTGCCAGAGCTGCAGCATTCTCTGAAGAAGTGACCTTTGACCCCAGAGTGGAACTTTAGCTTGAAGTTTTTGTTCTTCTTTTTGTTCTTCTTAAGCATTTCTTGTTTTAAGTTGCTCAGAATCTGTGTTTCTTTGTTAATAAACCTAAGAAATTGGTTTGCTGGAGTGATTCTGGGAGTCAGAGGGAACTGGCTGTTGAGCGCTCAAGTAAACAGATTTACTCTCTGGAACCATAATAAAGGTGATGTTGGTTTGCTGCTACCTAGCTGGAACTTCTTGTTTCAAATTCCCCTTGATTGGAGTTTTTTAAGAATGTGCATTTGTAAGGGAATTTGTGAGATGCTTTTCCAGGCAGGCATCTAGGGTCTCTGAGCCAAGGAACACAAGGGGACAATGAAGGAGGTGGAAGCTGACCCAACAGTATCGCTCTGGGGCTCTTCCCCTGACTTTGTGTGAGCCTGTTCCCAGGAGCTCTAGGGTGCATCATTCACTGAAGTCAGTGGATACCTAAGCCAAGTAGAAGACAAGCAGGGCAAAGTCCCCTCCCACCCTGTGAGATAAGTCCATACGTGTGGTAGGTACATAGTTCTCAGCCCCTGTGGATGTGTGTTCCTGCAGATCCAGATGTACCAGCTGTCACGGCTCCTCCATGATTACCACAGAGACCTCTACAACCACCTGGAAGAGCAGGAGATCGGCCCCAGCCTCTACGCGGCTCCCTGGTTTCTCACGGTGTTCGCCTCACAGTTCCCGCTCGGCTTTGTCGCCAGGGTCTTTGGTGAGCTTCCTCGTGTGTCTGCCAGCCAGCATTCTCCTGTCAGTGAGCAGCTTGTGTTGTCAGCCTACGGTCATTGTTGGCTGTGTAACTGTCTAGTCAGGCTTGGTTGCCCAGGAGTCCTTATCTTGTGAGCAGGTCAGACCCTGCTCTGCTCGGTCCCACCCATTAGTCACCTCTTTTACTTTTAAGCACATGTAATCTCATAATTTCAAAGATTTCTTTTCAGAGCCAGAGAGAGAGTTGGGGGGGGGGTGAGTGTGCCCACACTCATGCATGTGGCAGCCAGAGGTTGGCAACCTTCCGTTATCCCTCCCCACACTATTTTTGAGACAAGGTGTCTCTTTGAAGCCTCAGAGAATCTCCTCTCTTTCCCTCTCCAGAGCTGGGATTATAGGCTTGCCCCATGATGCCCTGTTTTGTGGGCACTAGAGTTCCAAACCCAGTCCCTCATGCTCGCATAGCTAGTACTTACCTCTCTCCAGCCCCTCGGAGAGCGTCGTGAGGAACTGTTCAGAAGCACTGCATTGTGTGTACACTACTGGATATAGGCTTTGAATAGACATCTTAAGATTCTACATTCTAAAAGTACGAAAACTAGCTTTTTGGTTTTTTAATTTATTTGTATTTGTGTGTGTGTGTGTGTGTGTGCGCGCGTGCGCGACCCTGTGTGAGTCGATGTGTGTGTGTGAATCTCCAGGAGGCCAGAAGAGGGTATTCTGTCCTTTGAAAGTGGAGCTACAGGTAATCTGAAGGGCCTGACGTGGGTGCTCAGAGTTGAACTTGGGTCCTCTGGGAGAACAGCAAGCTCTCCCCACCACTGTGCTGTCTCTCCTTCCTTAACGCTGGTCTGGTCGTTGAGGCTAAGTGGGTTTGGTTTCCTCTCCCCTCACCTCCCAGCAGAATGCTGAACTATTTATTATTTTTATTTCCTTCTGTCTGTCCACAAGAACCTTTGGAGACTTTCCCTCTGTGACAAGGATCTGTATTCTTAAAACGACTCCCTTCTGCGTAACTCTTTTGACTTTTATTTTAGTGTTCAGGGTTGGGAGGGAGGGTGGATCACTAAAGTCAGAAGTAGTAAAAGCTTCTTACAGTTGGGCCAGCTGTGAGATTTCATGGCCTTTGGACCATATGTAAAGAGTAAAAGTCTCAAAGCTGGGTGTTTGCTACACTGACAAAAGGGTCCCAGGATGTATCTCTAGCTGTGGGCTTCAGTCTTTCTTGCCAGCACTTTCAGAGTTTTAGTTTCCTATAACTTGGAAATGGGTGGGGGTGCCCCGCCCCACCCACTCTTTCTCTCTCACTCCTTTAGCTGTGTAGGTCATGTGAGGACTGGAACTGAGCAGGGGCAGGGAGAACTCCTTGTTGGTAGTGTGGAAACAGCTGAGAAGTTGAATTCCAGGGTTTGTGGGAGAAACTCTGCCAAGGGGCTGGACTGACCACAGACTCAGCTACAGGGGGTGAGTGAGGCACTCCTGCCCAGGGCCAAACTGGAGCCGCCACCTGCAGAGAAAGAGTTCTGGTCCCTAGGAGAGCCATCTGAGGCTGCTTAAGCTGGTGAAGGACAGGAAAAGCAAGCAGCCTCCTCCCTGGAGATGAGAGCCTTTCTGCTGCAGGATAATTTGGTGCTCTGTGTGACACGTGCTCGTGACTTAAAGTCTAATAATAAAAGCTGAAGCCAGTTCACACAGGATGTTTTTCTCTGAAGGAGTGATGAGTCTTGGAGTTTTATATACAGTGTGCCTAAAGATGCCAATGTCTGCAAAATTCCTGGGGCCCACAGCTCGCTGCTGTACTAGTGAATTCCTGGCTGGCATCTCAGTGGTCCATCTCGGGTCCCACTGAAAAGGCAGCTTGCTCAGGGCCGTTTCCATTTATAGCGGTGGGGACCAGCTTGTTGAGCTCCTTACGGATCAGCAGTTAAGCTGCATAGTTACTGCCGTTCAGGCTCTTGGGCCTTTCTGGCCTGGGACCTCTTCCATTTTAAGCCTTAAACCTGGATAAATCTTAAAGCAAATGAGCCTTTGTTGATAGTCTCTCTTTTATACATGAGGAGGAGATTTCCAGTTTGCAAGGTCAGCGAGATGACTCAGCAGCTAAAAGCAGCTAAAAGCCTGATGACCTGGGTTGAGTCCCAGAGCCCACATGGAGGAAGGAGAATCCTGACTCCTGCAAGTTGTCTCTGGCCTTCCCATGAGTAGTGCCATGGCACACATGTACAAATACATTAAATAAACAAACAAACAAATATGAAGAGATTCCCAGCTTGCACCAGCATAGCTCCCATATTAATGAATAGGTCACCTCCAAGGAAGGACATGCTGCTTGAGAGGACAGCTGCTGTCAGTGTGTATCCTGTGACCTCATGGTGCTCATACTAAGGTAGATGTAGTCCTCTGTCCTAGACCCCGTGGTCTGTATGGTTTTAGTCTGAGTGGAGCATGGACCTTGAAAGAAACACTTGCTCTTGCTCTGAAGAGATGGCTCCGAGATTAAAAGCACACGCTGCTCCTGCAGAGGGCCCGAGTTCAGCTCCCAGCTGTTAGGAATACTTTGTAACACGAGCTCTCTGCCGACACAGAATGATCCCAATCAAACCAATTCAGACCAAATTAAAAGATACCCAGGTTTAAATAACACTACCACCGGGAGAAAGAGGGAAAACCACGTGTTTATTTTGGGGGGAGCAGTTTAAATAGCTTGGGGAAGTAGTCTTGACCTTTCCTGGGGAGGGGTCAAGGTTCAAGGGGCACAGGGGCGGGGCCTCCAGAGATGGAAGCCGGAGACCAGTATTTACACCAGCACCCTCCTCCAGCAGCGCGCAGGCCACCTGTAATTCTGGCTCCAGCGGGTCCGACGCCCTCTTCTGGCCTCACAAGCACCTGCACACACAGGCACATCAATATAAAGTAAAATACATCGTTTTTTTAAAAAAGAAAGAAAAGAAATGCCTCTTCACCTTCTGGTCACATCTGCCTTTAGGAAAAACAGGAGCTGGCTTTCCTGCTAAAGGAGGCAGCTGCAGGTTCCGGCTCTGCGTCCTTCTATAGAATGCCCTGCTGAGGAGATAAAAGTGGAGCATAAAACTGAGGGCTTGACACAAGGCACAGAAGCCTTAGGGTGAAAATAGAGTAGGAATTGGGAGCTGTCCTGTGGCCAGGGAACCTTCGCTCTGCAGTGTAACATAGTAGCATCAGTGTAAAATCTGCCTGAACGTAATTGTCACATTCGTGTTAGGAAGATAGAGGCTATGACCACAGGATTGCCACCTCCTAGGAGAACGTTAAGAGGAGGGTGGGGTTGTGGGGTTACCCTGGACAGCAGTCATGTGGCTGGGAGAGAGATTCCAAATGAGGTCACCAAAGGAAGTTGCACTCGCAGATCATGGAGTTGTAAACAGAGGTCCCAGGTGTGGTGGGGCACAGTTCCCGAGCTGTGGGAATGTCTTCAAAGGGAGACATTGTGTTCATCTCAGCAAGTCCTATGCACTGTGGTGGGGTCAGCTGAACTTAAGGCACCCTCTATTTCCTGCCTGTTTCTGAGTGGCTGGAAAATGCAGCAAAGGAAGGGAAGGGGGAAGTGGGCAGCTGTGCCCCAGCTCAGCTGCGGGCTTGGCAGGACCTCCACCTACCCAGCAGTCACTGCCTGCAGGGACTTTCCAAGGACAGTTATTGTTGTTGATTTTTTAATTCCCGAAGGAAGATGTGTGAGGTTGAGAAGATGACCAAAATAGAAATAGTTGGGCTGGCACAGAGGGTCTGGATTGTAGGTAACATTTTTTTTTCAATTGCTTACAAATTAGGCTTAAAGTTTTTCAGAGTACATAAAACTTGTATCATTTTGTTTGTTATTTTACAAAACATTTATGTTTAAAATACATCTTGTAAGAGCTGGAGAGATGGCTCAGCAGTAAAGAGAGCTTACTGCTTTCCAGAGGCCTTGAGCTCAGTTCCCAGCACCCACATCAGGCAGCTCACAGTCACTTGTAACTCCAGCTCCTGTGGATCTGTTGCTCTCTTCTGGCTGGCACGTGTGTGCACGCACACACGCATGCACACACACACAAATTAATAAAAATAAGTCCTGTAGCATTATTCTCCATCTTGTCATTTCCTGCCATGGCGAGGTTTGTGTGTGTGTGTGTGTGTGTGTGTGTGTGTGTGTGTGTGTGTTCGTTCCACAAGCTAGGCATGTCACGGATTCCCCAGTGACACAGCCTTGGTGTGGATATACTTCCTCTAAGCCACTCCAATCTTGAAATTATTGTCTGAGCCTCAACAACCAACCCTGAGGAGGAAGCAGGGCATCCCATTCACTGTTAGGGCCTGCCTAAGCCCTGAGCAGGTGTGGTGTCTTCAGTAGCCGAGGGCTCCCCATGTGGTCAGCAGTCTCAGGCTGCACTTGGTGCCCTCATTTCCCAGCACAGACCGTCCCAGTTGGCACCAACTCCAGTCACGTGGCCGGTGACGTAGTAAACGTTTCCGACATCTTGAGGACTGGCCTGCTGAGTAAGCTTACAGATCCGCACCCTCTCTCCTGTGCCTGACTCAGTTCCTCACCTTTCCAGCAGTGTCCAGCCGTTCCAGTTTATGAACAGGTCTCACGTGCTGTCATTCAGGCTCACGTGGAGGGGCATCTCGGGGAATCTTCTCTGGGGTGCTTTTGTTTGCCTTGATGGCATGGTTGCACAGGTGCCGTTTCTTCACCCTTTCTACTATGTCGCAGCCAAGGGTGGGGTGAGGAGTATCAGAGAGGAGAAGCTGAGATGAATTGGCCCTGGTTGTATTTATACTTCTGTTTTCGCCTTTTTCTTTTCACTTTATTCCAGTCACTAGGTCAGACGTGCCCGAGCCGAGTCACGCAGTAGCCAGTTCTCCTCTGATGTAGCCCAGGGCGCTGATGCTCACCTGTACTGGCTCCGGTTCCAGCTCGCTGCCTTATCCACTGCCTCATCCTACTGTATAAATTCAGTATAGGAATTGCTGTGGCTTTGCCAACGGCCATGAGAACTGGAGGGTAGCCTCACCCAACGGAAGACTGGCTCTTGGTGCCATTGTTCTGATGAAGTTCAGTGTGCTTTTGAAACTTTGTACACCTGTTAAAAGCTTTAAACATCTTTTCATTCTAACCTTTTATTTCAAAATATAATTTCCCATCTACAAGAGTCTTTAGGCTTTACTAATTGAAAACCCGTTTTAGTGGCTGGAGAGATGGCTCAGTGGTGAAGAGGTCTTATTACACAGTCGTGAGACGCAGAGTAACTAGCTGGGCGTCCCAGACATGCTTGGAACCCAACCCTGAGGGGAACCGGGACAGGAGAATCTCTCAGGCTGGCTGCCGGCCTAGATAGGAAAACATGAGCCTTTGGTTCCTCAAAGGAAAATGTAGGGAGAAGAGGAGGATACTTGATACCCTTTTCTGCCTTCTGTAAATGCACATGGGTGTGTAGATGTGCACACTTCACACACTCATGGACACACATACACAAATAAAAACTGGTCTTTTTTAAAATTTTTTTAAACTGGTCCTTTTTAAACATGTTTTAGCAACTCCTTTAAAAAATTTTCCCCCATGGAGAAAATCATAAGCTTATAAAACTTTTCTTTTTGAAGATCTTTTGAATATGTTTTTTCAGAATAAAAATTTTTATCTGAACCTGTGACTAAACCTAAGCCATATATTTATCCGTTGTTTTTAATTGTTATCATTTGCAGTGGTGTCTTGACAACTCTGTCTGAAATAACAGGCTCTTAAAAAGGAAACAAAATTTATAACTTGGATTCAATTTCCCACCCTTCTGCTTGTTAGTGTGAGGAAGAGAAAAGAGAGTGGTACTTTGTCAGTAGCTGACAGGACTTAACTCTGCATTTCTGTGTCTCCTTAGATATGATCTTTCTTCAGGGATCAGAGGTCATATTTAAAGTGGCTTTAAGTCTTTTGGGAAGCCATAAGCCCTTGATTCTGCAGCATGAGAACCTGGAAACCATAGTGGACTTCATAAAGAACACACTACCCAACCTGGGCTTAGTGCAAATGGAGAAGACCATCAATCAGGTACGGCTGCTCCAGATGCTGCTGAGGTCTGGGGTGTCACTTTCTAAAGAGGAGCTGGTTCTGACCACTTTGTGTTCTGGGTGGCATCTTGCCCAGTGCCTGGCATATGAAAGACACATCACAGATATACATCAAAAGAAGAAATGTCTGACTGTGTGTGTGTGTGGTGTGTGTGTGTGTGTTGCGTGTGTGTGTGTGCGTGCGCGTGCGTGTGTGTTGTGTGTGTTAATGGCAGAAGGCACCAGGAAGCCAGGTGTGCTAAGAAGGACAAGTATCAGTAGTTTGTTACATGTAGGAGGCCTCCTTTCTTGTCTTTTGTTCTTCAGAAATGAAATGCAAACTTTTGTAAGGTGCCGGATTTTGTAAAAATGAATGCTTTGATTTTTCCACTCAGTGGTACTAATTGAAATGTTCAGAAAATGACTTTTCTGTAATCAGTACAAGGTTGATTTCATGCTTCTGCTCTATGTCATTCTTTTGCTCTTCCGTGGTTGCTGTTGGAAGGTTTTGGCATCTCTAGCTTCCAGATACAATGTATAGAACCATTACTCTGAAATGGGGAATGTTTAGTTAGATTTAGCTGGGAATTACAATTAAAGCAGAACATGAACGGTTTGGGAACAAAGACTTTTCCCGTAACGATTGCTGCGCTGAGAAGCAAGATACTTAGTGGGAGTGGGGGAGTCACTACTAGAAGTGTCCAGAGGCTGTGTGGCAGAGAGTGTTAATCTGACTTCTCTACAGGATCAGAACCAATAGGCTATGTTATAATTATTGGGGGGGGGTCTATTAAATTGTCTTGCATGATTGGAACCTAGGTAATTTAATTGCCATCTGCATACCTTTGAGCCAGAAAGTCTACTAGCTGTGCAGTCCCCAAAGCCAGAAGCCTCAGGGAAACCAATGATGTGGCCCTAGTCTGCAGCAGGTCTGGAATCCTGGAGAACTGGGGGTTGAAGGCAGAAGGAGCTAGAGTCTGGTGTCTGTGGGTGGCAGCAGCCGTAGCCCCACTTGCCCAGGAGCAGCAGAACTCGGCTTGCTCGCAGGCTGCTCCCTCCCCCTTCCCTGCACACCTCCCCCATGATAGGATCTCACTTTGTAGCCCTGGCTGCCTTTGGATTCACTTATGTAGACCAGGCTGGCCTCTTCACAGAGAGCTGCTTGCTGGGTCTCCTGAGTGCTAGGATTAAAGGCTTCCACCTTTTGCCCCACCCCCAGCCTCCTGGAGTACTGCTCACATTTAGGACAAGTCTTCCTCTCGAGGACTGGTTCTGACACACACCAGTCACCTCCAGAAATACCTGCACGGGCACACCCAGCCACGCTCTACTAATCGCCCAAGATCCCTCAATCCAGGCACATCAACAAGCATAATAAACCGTCACACAGTTTATTACTGGAAGGGGTTTCGTCACTGGGTCACACTGCAGAGTCAGCAGTCAGCTCTCCAAAGCTTAGAACGTGTTCTGTAGATACAAATCTAGATAAGTCATTTAAACACAGATGGTGAGATAAAGCTTTTTTAGAAAAAAGTAAATGCTTATGTAAGGATTTCTGACCCGATAGCTCAGGCCAGTCCAGTGAATTGTAGCTAGATGCAGCCTGACATGCTCATCCCTCTTCTACCTTAGGGGTTAAGTACTGAAAAAAGGTGCAACTCTGGCAAAGGGCGGGGCTTCCTGTTGCACGTGACTTTGCGTCTCTGCACACTGCAAGTGCCCTGCCTCTGGTGAGGAGTTGTTGTCCACTCTGCACTTACCTTTGGCTAACTGATTGGCTCTGAGTCTTACCTGCCTGGCCCACTCACTCAGTATAGACCGCTTTGGCTTGCTGAGTCTGTCCTTTCTGCCAGGTCCTAAGGAATCTATATATCCACATGAGTTCTTGCAGGCATGACCACATTCCCGAGGGCAGAAAGTGGTTAATTAGCTGGCCTACACTCACTCTGCAGCAGAGGGGAGAGCCTGAGGTTTCAGGTGCATCTCACCTCAGTGCTTCAGCAGCCCACACCACATACCTCAAAATTATATTTGCATCTTAACACAGGATGAACTCTTGATGCTCTTTATTTCTGATGTTTGCACTAATTTACTCTCATCTTAGTTTTTCTTGAATATACTTAGCGACTCCCAGCCTCTGAAGTGAACCCAGAGTCTTGGCTGCCTAGATTGAGTCTTTGTCCTATGAGTACTGACTTATTGTCTCAGCTCCAAGACAGGTCATTGATCTACCTCCTGAGTATACGGCCTCAGAGAGAGAGGGGAATAATGGCTGTTTGTTCGTTTGTTCCTCCCCTTTTCTGTGAAGAGCTGTACTTCCTGGGAACATTGTGTGCTCTTGTATACAGGAGGTACCCTTCAATACCGGAAGCTTAGGCTGTCTCTGCACCGGAAGACACCCATCTGTATCTGTGCACCTGAGCTGGTTCAGGCAGCTGCTCTGAACTTGACAGGCAGTACTCCCCAGACTCCTTAGCAGATCTAGGCCATGACATTCCAGTTTCCATTTTCAGTGAGATTAGGCAGGCCCAGCATCCCATATGCAATGGCAGGGCCTAAGTGCGGAGAGACCACGGGGTTCTGAGTATTGAGTGTTGGAGCTGACAGTGTTTGGTTCATCTGGGCCTAGAAGAATGACATGTTTCTGGGTGGCCAGCATTTGGTGTGGCGGTGTTGTAGATTTTCAGCCAGGCTCAGGCCTCTGCTGCAGTTCCACATCTCTGCCTTTGAGCGGGTAAAGGGGTGAAGTAGAAATGTTACAGTAGAACATTAGCAAGGCGGGCTGTAGTTGGCTGAGCCACATGCCAGAGGCAGACGAGAAAGAAAACGGAGAGTAGTTAGTTCTGGTGCCAGATGTGTCCAGTGTGTGGTGAGGTAATGAGGGCGTGGCTGGGTGAAGTTGGCACTGGGAACCCAGGCTTTCATTCCAGAAACAGTCTTGATGGAAAACGGGTCAAGTGCCGGCAGCTGTCTGCCCTCTGAGAACTCAGGCTGTCCCTTCCCCTCCAGAGGTGCCTAAGTCTGAACAGACTAGAGAGCAAGTCTGAGGTGTGCATGATTGCTCAGTGGCCGGAGGAACTCCCAGCTTCAAACCTGGGAGGTCCTCACGGTGGAAATGATGGGTACAGTTATTGACTCTGACAGCATGTAGCCCCGTGTCTGGACAGGCTGTGGTGGGCGGGCAGGCCCTCTGGGGCTATAACCCCATTTCAGCAGATGCCCTTTGTAGACTAGATGAGCAGCTGGGACCCAGCCAGGCTCCTGGATGAGCCCTGCCTTCGTTGGCTCATGCTGAGAGCAGCATCAGAGGCATCTCCAAGGTTGACTGTCCAGGACAGAAGAGCTGGGGTCTCTGGAGCCACTCACCTTCCTCGGTGTGGCCTTGTGCTCGCCACAGTTGTCAGATGCATCTGCTGACCCAGAAAGAGGGCCCTCTGGGAATGATCAGTACTGAAGGGAGTTGGAGTGACAGTCACGTGACCGTGAGTGAGCCTCTGCCTCTGAGGTCTTGATTCAGGTCACAGCAGCAAATGCAAAGGGCTGCCTGGAGAGGCAGGCCTGCAGCCTGCTTTAGTCTCTGCGCTGCGGTCCCAGGCCAGCACTGTCAGATCATGTAAGGGCTTGTTACAAGTGGAATCTCGGGACCCACCCCGGGCCTGCTGACTCAGGAATCTGCAGGTTTACTAGAGACCTTGTGGAAGCTGTGCCGTGGTAGTGTTATTTAGAGAAGTTCCCAGTTGTATCCGACCTTGTGGGGCAGAATCCAATCTTCACAAAGTCCCTGTGTTCAGAGGAAGCTACCACAGCAGGGTGGCCCCGTGCCCTAGCTTGAGCCACTGCATCGGTGGAAATGAGTAGTTTGCAAAAGGACAGTCGGCAATGCCTCACCCAGAGGGTGGAGTGCCTTGGGGACACGCGCTTTACCACAGCCACATGTGGTGATAATTAAAGTCAGGTTGACTTCTAGTTAGCTTGATTATCAGTTTGAAGTTTACTTTAGACAGTGTGCCTGCCCCTTGTCACAGATTCCCCAGCAGACTGCTCCCCTCCCTGCACTAAGGGCCACTCACCAGCAGATTGGGAAGGGTCTAGGAAAGCCAGAAAGTGTGCTTTGCCAGTCACAACTGAGTGCCTTTATTATACCATGTTCAGAGACTGCAAAGCGAAACACCGAGACTTCAGTAGCAATGAGCCAAGAATATAAGTGTACAAGGAGAGCCATCTAGCAGACACATATCTGGGGGCCTATTTAGCTTCATGCATAACTTAAATTTCTGCATAGCATGTAATGCCTTGCCTGCTAGATTAACATACTGACTTTTTAACATCAGTTTGCAGTGCTGAGGGCATGCAGCATCTGGCACATCAGTATATGCTGGTGGCACTGTGGCTTGATTGTTCCTACATGGGAAGTAGTTTGGCAAGAGGCAGTATGTGCCAGTAAAGCCTTCAGACCCTTCTGGTGCCGGAATCCCAACTACTGGAATACATCCTTAGGAACTGGGCCAAAACACTAGGAGAGCCCTATGTACAAGGAAATTCTCATAGAGTTGTCATTTGTAATAATAATAATAAAAAAAAGAAGTATCAAGATGTCCAGCATTTACTGAATGGGCTTATAAGTTTGTGCTGTGCTGAATTGGTAAAGAACCATAAAGCCATTTATTTTGGTGGTTATGGGGAACATGGCGCCACACAAGAAAGCCCTTAGAACATAAAATTAAGTGGAAAAAAAGTGAGTGGGGAAGGATATTTGATGTTAGTTTTGTTTACGATTAGAAGAAAATGTGCTTCTAATAGTAAAGTGAGAGGAAGCATAGCGGTGAAGGAAGCTGCACTGGGCATTCCTCCTCTCCGTGCTCCTGCATTCTAGCTTTCTTGCTTCGGTAACGAAGCTGATAGTGTGTCGTTGTGACAAAAATCCTGAACATAAGGGAAGAATAGTTCCTGTTTTGACAAACAAGACAGCGCTCCTTTCAGCTCTAAAATTCTGGAACTTTCCTGAAACCTTGGAGACTGAGAGACAGACAGGGTAGTGGAAGGCACGAAGTCCCCGATATTCAAAGCTCACGTGGAATTGGAGAACACCCAAACATGCCACTTTCAGAGGCCATTTCCTGTGCTGGGAACCTTAGCATCAGAGTCCCTGTCAGCTTGACAAGATCAAGTTAGTTAGAGGACCAACCTCAGGCCTTGCCTGACGGAGTGTCCAGGTTAGCTTAAGAGGTGAAGAGACTTACCCTAAATGTGGGCGGCACCATCTCGGGAGCTGAGCGTCAGCCCCCCTCTCTCTCAGCTTCCTGACCGTGGTTGCACTGTGATCAGCCACCCCATGCTCCTGCCACCCCATGGACTCAGCACTCTTGAACTGAGCCAAAATAAACCTGTCGTGCATTCTGACTTTTGTTGAGCATTTTGTCACAGCAATAACTCACAGGGCCCTGTGCTGAGCGGCTTCAGCCCATGGGGTTCCTTCGCCCACTCCCTGAGAAGGGGCTGCACTGGGCAGCACCACATCTGTCTTCTGACCTCACTGCAGCCCCGTCACTTCCTCTTCAGGAGAAAGTGCAGACACTACCGCTTGAGTCACTTCTGCATTGAGGGTTGTTTCACACGTGTGGCTCTGTCACCACCATTGCTGTTGTGGGCAGAGGCAGCTCAGGCATTGTTTTGTGTTCACTCATGCGTGTGGGTGACAATTGGGGTTGGCTCATTTCACCAACAGTTCTGTTTGTCGTTCTTGCAACTCTGAAGACACAGCTGGATCATAACTAAACTTGGACTTGGAGACTATGCAAGCAGGACATGATTCTTTTGCCACCTTTTAACCTAGAGTCAGTGTATTTATGAAATAGAATTTTCAGAGAAAACATTCAAGAACTAAAATTTTTGAAAGTCTTATTCAGATCTGGTTTTTGTTTTGCTTGTTTACTTGTATGTGTGGGTATTTTGTTAGTGTATGTATGTATGAATGTATATATGTATGCATGCCACCTGAGTGCCTGGTGCCTATGGAGGTCAGAAGAAGGTGCCAGATCCCTTGGAATAAACTTACGGCTGAGAGCCACCATGTGGATGCTGAAAGCCAGGTTCAGATCCTCTAGAAGAGCAGCCAATGCTTTTACCTGCTGAGCTGTCCCCGAGCCCCTGGAAAGTCTTCTAAGACTTTCCCCCGCCCCCTTTGGCCTTTTAGAAAAAGGATATTGGAGCCTATACTTGTTTTATCCTTTGAAATCATTTCTAGATGTTTGTTGTTATCTTCTCTTTGTAAAATCATGACCTCCTCAGAGCTGAATTTCCTTATCTTTCATGTGTGTTACAGTCATGCTGCCAAGCATGTAGGGATGATAGATGCACATTGGCATGAGCACACGTGTGTACAGGTACCTGTGCCTGTGGAAGCTTGTCTTAGTTTCGGAGCCTGATGATTTTTCTGTCTCTAATAGGTGTTTGAGATGGACATCGCCAAACAGCTGCAAGCCTATGAGGTTGAGTACCATGTGCTCCAAGAAGAACTCATTGATTCCTCTCCTCTCAGTGACAACCAAAGAATGGATAAATTGGAGAAAACCAACAGCAGCTTACGCAAACAGAACCTGGACCTCCTGGAACAATTGCAGGTAGAACATATTTGCAAAGCAGCTTCCTGAGCCTCCGTGTGTAGTAGCTCATTAACTCACCAAAGGCAGCAGCAGCCTGGGCTTTCCCAGGACCGGAGGACCTTTCCAGCCCTGTGCTGTTTGTAGTTGCGATCAGAGGTGTCCTAGGAGAATCGGCCCTTTTATTGTGGAGCAGACAGACTGTCCTTGCTAAGGTCAGGCAGTCCTGGAGCTTTCTGAGAGGCTCTTTCTACACTTAGCTTTACAGGAGACCGGCCCAGAGACCAGCTTAGTCCCGGATGCTGAATGCCAGCAATTGTACTTTGATTAATGATGAGATGATCTTGAGCTTTCATTGCCTGGAGTGAGACAAGCTAGGTCCCTGGAGAGAAATTAAAGGAGAGGAGTGACTTAGAAGTCTATCTAACAGAATAAACTATAACATATGATAGTTATTTATAAATAAGCCTAGTACAAATGCAAAGGTTTGTTTATTGAGGGCACAATTCTCCCCTCTAGAACCTTTCCATCTTAAGAGGGTAAGCGTAGGAGAGGACACAGAAGCACTGCCATGTAAGTAGTACATGCAGAAAGGTGAGGGAATGAGCTTTGGGACACAGTTCAGAGGTGGCCCATGCACATGGCCCCCAGGCCTGTCCCTCCCTCATCAGTGTGATGGGAGCAAAACAAAGCCCTCACTGCAGAGCGCGGCCCCGTCAGTCAAATGGCACTGGTGTTCTTCTTGCTAGTAGTATAAATGAAAGAATGTCTCAGTGTTCAGAGATTGTTGGGGATGTTTGTTTTTAAAACAGGTTGTTCGTGGGGTCCCTGGGCTCCCCAGAATATGTTCTCCATCCTTACCCAGTTCTGATCTTTCTTCATAGGATGCTTCCACCTTGCAGACTTGAGTTTGTCCATGATGTAAAAGAGGTGGGCATTTGAGAGTCTGTAGCTCATTCCCTGCCTCAAATACCTTCCTCCCAGCAGGCTCTCCCACAGGAGACAAGTGGATCCTTACTGTAGCACCCAGAAACAAAATGCTCCCCTCACCCATCCTAACCACCAGGCACCTCGGAAGCCACACTGCTTAATTTGCCCTTACTGGAAATATGTTTACACTCTTCCCCGGAAGTCTCAGTTGTCACCTGAAGGGAAGCCATAGGGGACAAAGAGCCTGCTCTGTCCCACGAGGGCACACTGTGCATGTGGTCATTTGCAAAGATTGGAAGGCAATGGTGGGCCCCCAACACACACATGGACCACTGAGCTCACTTTTGCATTTTGAAACTTTCCACTTACAACAAGCCGAAATATATTCTGGGTTCATTTCTTAGGCTGATGCCAGTGTTCATCTTTGGATTTTTGAAAGCAGTTATATACACTGCTTCTGTGTGAGGAGAGGACCTCGTGACACGCTGCTGAGAAACCTTCGTACTGAAGAAAAGGCCGCAGGTGTCTCCTGGATTCCCTCTGAGCCAAGTGGCTCCAGGACCGTCTTATACAGGGCTGCAGGTTTTGTTAGCCTGCTGTAGTTACTGAGCCTGTGCCGGGCAGAAGCTGAGTCGGACACGGCTCTTAGAAACACAGACAAGGGTAGTTGTATAGTTACTGGGCCCTGAGCTGGTTTAGAGGTAGTTTTCCCATGATCCTCTCTGGAAGTTATGTCTCCCGTATGTATCTCATGCTTTTTGTATGAGAAGGTTTTCAATATGATCTTAAAGTACATTTCTCCCCACCTTGAGTATCAAAATTTACCTGGTCTTTAACTTGGTTCTGTTCATATCACTGATGGACAGACCAAAGTTCTATCTGTATTTTAAACATTTGATGTGACTGACACGGAAAGACAAGCAATATACAGTGTTGACTGTTTGTTCTCATGCAGAGGAAAAACACTGGAGGAGAAAAACTAAGAAAGATGGCCTAACAGGGTGGGCATGGGGGAGGGGGGCATGAGAGGGGAAGATGGGAGCAGAGAGGAAGGGGAATAGGTCTGAAGGTAGACATAACCAAAACACAGTATTTTCTTGTATAGAAATGCCACAGTGAAACCCGTTAACATGGATACTTAATGTACATTAATAATTATGGCTCTTAAAATTTAGGTTGCAAAGACAGCAGTGGAAGGGACCGCATGGGGAAATTATACTGTCCTTCAGTACTGTGAGCAAGGGCTACCTTTTTTTGCAGCCTTAAGCAATGTCGAACAAACTCTCAAATGAGTGACATTGGCCCCGCCCACATGCCTCAGGATGCGTACAGGCATATAAGGGTCTGTACAGAAGGGGGTAGTAGAGAGATTAAAACTGGTAACAGCACACTGTTCACAGTTATATTGGATTGTGCTTTAATTCAAAATATAGAACTTGCATGCGTTGTTTTCAAGTATGTTGAGCTGTGTTCATGATGTTTTAAGTAGAAAAACAAATTACTAAACAGACTGTGTGATGTGCTTTTCTTTAAAAGTATGATTTATGTGTGTTCTGTGGAAAAAATATGAAAGACCATGCACTAAATATCAGTAGCAACTGTTGCTGCGAGGGAAACATCAGACACCCTGCACTAGTTTTTCAGTGTTCCGCTATTTTTTCTCTTCCAGTACCTTGAGTAAATAAACATCTAAAGGCTAAGTTTAGTGTTCTATGAAGTATATGCATTCTGTTATCACTTTAAGTTCAAAGACATTTTTACTTTTGTAAGTAGCACAAGCTATTTGAGTACATGTAAATGTATATAAAGGAATAGTAGATTATTGCCAGAAATTATTCCTGACATTTAATAGATTCTCAAACTGTAAATGCCAAATTTAGGTTACTGTATGTGTGTCATCTAAATTAGCAGACTAGAAATAATAATTTTTTTCTTTTTTTTTCTTTTATTAAATTATAAAAGTTTCCATTTCAGCCCCTCCTCCCAACACCCTCCCACTCCCCCCACTCCCTCTCCTCTTTTCTCTCCATCCCCTAGAGCAGTCAGGGTTTCCTGCCCTGTGGGAAGTTCAAGTTCCTCCCCCCAATAATTTTTTTTTTCAAAATTTGAAATGCTATTACAGGTTTACTTATAGAGTACTTGAGAAATTTCTAAAATTTTTTTGCCTATTAAACTGTAATGTTCACAGGTTAGCACAGAGTTTATGTATTTAAAATAAACACACAGAGTAAAATATGTTGACTCAAAAACAAAGAGTTGTCCAGAAACAAGAGATGAGAGTCTTGATCCTGCCGTGCGCTAGCAGTATGCAAGATGACTTTGTGTGCTGGGCGGTGGCATGGGCGCGTTTCCTAGTAATCTGCCAGCTACAGGTGGTCCCCAGCTGAAGGGTCTGTGGGGACCAGATATTGACATCAGACACGCTTTGTTTAGTCTGCTGAGACCTGCCATCTGTGCCATTGGTAATGCATCCTGCAAATTGGTTCACTACTAAGTCTCAAGGGAAATGACTGTGCAAACTAGGAAGTACTCCGTGAGCTACATGGCCATCAGGACAGAGATGGGCTGGGCCCAGCCTGGACAGTTGGGAATGTTCTGGAGTGGGAGGTACCACTTAAGGATATGCACCAGGCTTGCCCATTCCCTCTCTGAGCCCGAAGAGCTGTGCCTTCCAACCTTTTCCTCCTTTGATTTTCAGGATTCTGGTGTTACAGCGGGAGCTAGACTTGGAGTCACAGGTTTTCTGTCTAACACAAGAGTTGTCTTGTTCAAAAAACAGTTTCCCACGTTTTGAAAACGAAGTGGGGAATTAGATGTACTCTTTCCCCTAGCTAAAATAAATGGGACACACAAAAAGGCTGGACTGATAAGGTGAGCCACCCCTTCCTGTCCATAGTGCCGTCGATACAGCTGGGCACCAAGGAGCAGGCCAAGAAGGCCAGAATATAAAGCACAAGGTTGGAGCTGCTTCAGTCCTCTCAGAGGGCCCCTCAGGTCACTAGAGCCTGCCACTCCTGGGATGCCTGCCCTAGTAGACGGGGGATGGGAGCTAGGGGTGACGACACACTTCCCTGACCTGGTATGTGCTGGGTGTTAAGGATGTGACCTAAGACAAAGCTTTGTCTCCAAGAGAGACCAAGAACTTGTTCTTTACAAGGCTGGTGGTGGCCAGTAAGCAACAGTAGAGAGAAACCTCAGTAGAATACTGCTGTTTCTGACTTTTCGTGTCTCAAGGAAAATGCCTCGTTTCCTGGGAAACCAGTTTGTACGTGGAGATATATGGTCGGCTGAGACAGGCCATGCTGTGTCTTACCCCTGGCCTGCCACAGCATCCTATGTGTACTCGGATAGAGGGTGGGGGTCCTGTTCCCTCTGTTCTCAGAGGAGTCAAACCAGGGGAAAAGACACAAGAGAATGTCACAGTGTCTGTAAGAGCCCAGCCTTCCTGCAGCAGAAGCAGGGATAGTTCTTGAATGATCAGAACTGGTCATCAGTTGGCTTGTTGCTGCCCAGATTCTGCTCCAGAGGCCCCCAAAGGCTGAGTGGTGGCCTTCATAGCCACCCCCTCTTGTGTAATCACAGGCGGGTACAATTCTCATTTCTCCTTTCATTTTCCAGGTGGCAAACGCTAAAATCCAAAGCCTTGAAGCTACGGTGGAGAAGCTTCTAGCCAGCGAGAGCAAGCTGAAGCAGGCTGCGCTCACCCTGGAGCTGGAACGCTCAGCCCTGCTGCAGATGGTGGAGGACCTGCGAGGGCAGGGTGCCCAGCCCAGCACTCAGGAGCCGGACTGTACCCAGCCCGAACCGACAGGTGACTGACAGCTCCCCAGAGAGACTGCACACCACTAACACTGTCCAGGCCTTAATGGAGAGAGACAGAAGCTGGAGGCAGAGAAGAGAAGACTCCTCAGGGAGGAAGCTGGCTCGCCAGCCCGCAGATGCTTTGCGCTCAGACTTGGAGTTGGGAGGGCTGAAGTCCCAGAGTTTTTGTTGTTTTTGGTTTAAATTCACCCCCTTTCCAGTCCTGGTTGTTGTAGCTTTAGATGGCATGGCCGTGAGTAAATGTACCTTTACGTTCCCTCCTCCTCCAGAGGCACATTGTTTGGAGAGAGCAAAGCAAGAAGGGCTTGAAGTAATTCCTCAGGCAAAAGTGTGATCCTTGTCAGTCTGCAAGGAGAGGGTCCTGTGACCATGCCCTTGGTGTCACCATGAGGTGCAGTGGGGCCTTTGTCTACTCTTGTTATGGAGACCAGAGGTGGCTGTGGGGAAGGACTGAAGGGTTTATTGAAATTGGACGTGTTGATCGTCACCGACTCCACAGTCGCTCCCATGGGTACTGAAGAAGCTCGTCTTTTACCCAGTGTTTTAATGTTTTTGCTCACCCTTTCAAGTCCTGGTAGATAAATGTTTCATAAAGAAATCACAGTTTTTAGACTCCCTGTTCTTGCTAGTGTGTGAACTGTCGCTATGGGGTCTGAGATATTTATTTGTGACTATAGCCACACTATAGGGTCACTTATTTATTTTTGTCTGTGGGATGATGTACCACAGCCAGCCATGTCTTCCTTTGAGTCTTGACCCCCTGGAGCTCTGATTCCGCCTAGAAGGAATAGAGCACATCAAGATTTCAAGGGGCTCCTAAGACTCTGAAACATTGCAGAAGAACCCCGGCTGAAATTGCATACAGATGGATGGCAGCTGACAATTTTCCCGAGGTAGGATGTGTGTTTTGAGAAGCACTCAAAATACAGTAAGCCCTCCCTTGGGATGGTGAGGACCCTGTGCCTTCAGGCAGAGTGCCGCTCACAGCCACCCTGCTTCCAGCTGGTCCTGTGGAGAGCATCACCCATGTGCACAGCAAGCTTGGAGAAGAACCACGGGCACGGAAGCCTCCTGAGTAGCGGAATTGGTCCTGCCTTGGGCTCTACCACTCGCGGGGGGGGGGGGGCCCCGGTCCACAGAAGTCTTCTGCAGCTCTCTTGGTAGGAAAGGAGCCTTTTAAGCCTGGGGTGAAAGGAGGGACCACCATCCTTGGTGTCATTTGGTATCTCCTTGCTATTTCAAAGGGACACCCAATGGCAGCTGGTACTGAAGACTCCCTCCAGCTCTTGGGTCAGGGGAAAGTTGTTCTCTCCACAAAGCAACATCAACAGTCCCATTGCCTCTCCTCCAGGAGGCTCCACCAGGGGTAGTTAGAGGAGGAAACTGTGGGGGCTTCTTTCCACATTGTATTTTATTATTTGAATGTTTTAAAATGTTGAGTTTTGGACATATTATTACCGTTCAAACATTGACTCTACAATAAGAAACAAGAAAGCAATAAAACCAGTAATTTACACCTGTGTCTTCATGGCGTCTGTTTTCAAGCTCCGAGTTTGGGCTTGGCTTGGAGTGAACGTGGCTTCAGTGTACATGTCACCTCACCGCTAGCAGTCAGTTTTGAGACATTAGCTCTCCCTCCAGGATCAGTGCCCAAGTATCCATGATGTTGGGACACCTTTCCACAGGGCTATGCATGCAACACCAAGGCAACTGGCTTTTCCTATTGTGTGAACACCATCTGTCATTGCAAGACTCTATTGGGCCAGAATACCATTCTTATAAACTCCTAAGTGAACCTATTGGTATAGCTTGGACGTAGTCACAGCTGGAGACCTAGCAAGGAGAGAAATATGCAGAGGCAACTCATGTCACTATGAGCAATCTCAGGCAAAGTATTAAATCAAGGTCCATGTTCAATTTTTCTCCCCCTGCACAACACTGTACCTGCATGTGCACTTGGAAGTTGTCCCTCTTTGATACCACTTATTTCTTGGACACTTGTGTCAAATCCTCAAGCACTGCTGTGTAAAATGTGATGGGGGCCCTGGCTTTGGTTGTGTGAGGAAGCATATTAGAAAATAAGAGTTATTAGTGAAGTCAACTGAAGTTGTTTGAAAGCTAAGGATGAAGTGTAGTTTTTATTTTGCAATTTGGGTTTGAACCCAAGGCTTTATGCATCCTAGGTAGGTGCTTTCTCACTGAGCTTCTCCTCCCATCCCTACCCAGTGTTCTTAAGAAGAATAATGAGCATTTCATTGTTTTACTCAAGTTCTGCTTGATTTTCCCCCTTTCGCTGCAAGGAAATGTTTCTCTGTTTAAGACTAAGAGTAGCCTCTATATGTGAGTATAAAAATAAAGACACTTAGGAGGTAGTTTGAAAGGATGTTAGTCCTGCTAAGCAGCAGCCTTAGGTTGCACTCCTGGACCTAAAATCTCTTCAGTAACGGGTTTTAGACAAGGTGTACAGTTCTAGGTGAGGATTTCCTCTTGTACAATGGGCCTCAAATCCAAACGGAGTGGTTGGTTATCCCATAGCAGTCCTGCCACTATTGCTGTAATAAGCACATCTTGCCAGGTTGATATAGCTCATAGGATCCACAGCTAGGAAAGACCATTGATGCCCTTACCCTCCTCTCCTGGCAGCCACCTTCATAGCACCTTCTTGCACTGAGAGCTAGCCAACAGGGAGGATGTTTCCAGTTCAAGTCCAGTTTGATGTCTCTTTATCTTGCACCTAAGGTGTGTAGTGTGTTTAGTAATAGGGTCTTACCAGTTGGTTCTGCTGGGTAATGGCAAAAGCCTGTATTGTTTGGGATCCACTGGGTGTTTCCCAACCAGAAACTACAGCAGAAAGATTGTTTTAAAAAAAAAAAAAAAAGTAGGGAAAAGGTTTGTGAAATGTTGGCTACAACTACTGATTTGGAATTGACACAAGTTGGGTCTTTTTAATAGTTACAGAGGAGAAAGGAACTCAGTTATTGCTGTCCCATTAACAGCTAATGGACTCTGGGAAAGGGGAGGCATAATAGCCAATTTTATACCTACAGTTGAGCCCGCCAGGCTCTGATGGTTAGTTCCAATTCAGGATCACACAATCAGACATAGTTAAACTCTGTGGGACATTAAATAAACTTCAAAAAAAAAAAAAACCTAGTTAATATGATAAAGTGATTCCTAAGGAAGGGGAACTAGGAGGCAAATAAGAGATGGGTGGAAAAGTAACCTGAGCATATTATGCAAATATATAAAGTTGTGAAAGAACAAGATCAATAAGAAAAAGAAGTGGAGGGGCCAGGAGGGAATAGAATAGAACATTTGGGTGTGATAGGTATAAAACACCTTGTATATACACATGAAAACATATAAGATTGCATTTTAAATATTTTCTTTAAATAAAAAACCCTAACCAATTATAAAAGTTTTCCAAGTTTATCTGAGTTACACCCTCCCATGATTTTTGCCAAAATATGACTTAAACAATGGAGCCCCTCCCAAAGTCCTTCACAAGTCCTCCCTTAGTACTTTCTCGGTAAATGTTTGTTGGGTTCAGCCTCCTTGGAGACCTCTGCTCTGGACAGTCAAGCTGGGGAAGTGGAAGGTCAGAGTCCTTGGTTTTTCGGTTTGCAGTTTTTGTTTTTACCATCTAGATACAGGTTCACCTGAGTAACATGTCTGGGTTGCAACTCTTTTTTTATATGTCACAAGAAATTCATAGTTCTGGGCCTGAAACGTGCTTTGCTGTGCCTGTGAGAGAAGTGGGAGAAGGGGAGGAGAAAACCAAGCTGTGAGTGCCCTGTGCCCCACTTGTACCCCTAGTCTCAGCACCTTACTACTACAATGGCCATTCTCAGATTCTGGACAACCAGACATGGCCATGGGTAATCAACCTTATTG